GATAGAAACAGTGAAGAATTTGCACTAATGATGTTACCAAGGTTGGATAATGAAACATCTGCAAGAAATCAAACAAGCTCAGAGATCACCAAGGACCCCTCAGAAACAATGAAAGCAGAAAAGGAAAAAAGAGTAAACGATTCAATTCAAACGTATTTCATACTACCTGAACCAACCACCCAGATAAATCGACTGATTTTACAAATCATATTAAATGAAATTGATAAAGAAAAATTAGGTTCTTGCTAGGCTTCTTTGTGTTTTCACTGGTTTCATATATGATAGTAATCTGGAAGAAGTTATTGGTGCTGTGAGGAAATGCAACAAAAATTATGATTTTTTAAAAATACCAATGTTTCCTTCAGTATTACTTTAGATTAGAATCTTTTAAAAAATAATCTCAGTTTTGCGCTTTTAAAGGTGATGCCTGATGTTTGCAATAAACTATTTTGACAAGGTTTCTAGACAGGATGCTGTGGTCAAATAATATTCAGCAAGCTCCTGAACAAAATGCAGTTGTATATCACAAAGAAAACTCAGACAGTTTCAGCAACCTTACTTCCTTCTCCCTTCAATGTTGTTATGAAATATTTGATCAGTAGTCAAGGCAGTGAACAACATAGAAGTGGAGGAAATATCAACTAGCTTATGATTCACCTTCAGAAAAAACAAATATACATAAAAAATGAAATATTTGTTCATTGTATATCATGCGATACTGATGTTTTTTTAAAAATCACACCCAGTGCCAACTTTTAGTACAAATCAACAAATATTTGTTTCTGAAACATAACGAATCTCTATACTGCAACCAAAAAAAATCTGAATGCTTTCTTTCTTTGTGATCTAAACATCCAAGCAATGTACAATCCAACTAAAATATTATAATGTCATAAAAGCAATCTTTGTTTTAAATGAAAAACAAAACTCTAATACCACAAGGAAAAATAGTCATTTTAGCTAGAAAAAAAAAAAAAAGCTACCTAGAAAAGATGGCTAATAGAAAAAAAAAAAAGCACCACTTTCACACATGCTAGAGATATTGATTAATCACTGGTACCACTGTCCAAGACTCAACTATATATTTTTCAGTATGATCTGCTGAAGAAGCCTTGATCACTATTATGTGACTAATAGAATAGAATTCTTTACTGGCCAAGTGTGATTGGACACACAAGGAATTTCTTTTGGTGCAAATGCTTCCAGTGTTCATAAAAAGAAAAAAATACATTCATCAAGAATTATAGGTATAACACTTTATAGTAGACGAAGATTACAAATAAGCAATCAAATACTAGGAAACATAATAAGCGATCAAATCAAATCAAATTATACTTTCCTCAGTTGGACTCAGCTGATGTACACTCGGTACCCTTTGGCCTCATAGGGGTATTTCTATATATTCTACTGCACTGAGAATTTTGTCTTTTAAACTGCCATCACCAGAACATCTTGCAATTGTTGTGGTTATCAAGTAAAGAAATTTCAGTATCAACAACTATTTGTTCTGAGATCCAATGTTCTATTTGGATTAGGATGTCATTTATAAATACTAGTTGTTAAGAAATGACAGCAGAAAATTTCTCTCATCTTTCCATTTTTTTTTGAGCACCCAGAAACAATTAGTTGGCCACTGAGTCATGGCTTGATCTAGCAGGGAGCTGTTCTTAAGCTCTTAACTGCTACCACCTGTTATTCTAGCCAATAGAAGATTTAAAACGGAAAATATCCAATATTAACTTTTACAATTTGGCAATTAGCCATACAGTCAGAATAGGAAAGTAAGATTTAATACCACTTCACCTGTCCAGATGGTCTTCAATTAAAGAGCTATTATGAAGGAAGAAATACAGGTCCTATTTTAACGAATATCCATTTCTAGAGCATTCATGTAAAAATAATTATGTAATAAGTGAGGGATCCTTCAGGTCCAACAAAACCTTTTCACATCCTAGCAATGCTGCTTCAGAAAAGAAAATCCAGTCTTTATCATACCAAAATTCTTTAAATAACTCATAGTTCAGCTAATTAAAAAATATATATGTAATCCCCTAAATGACTGAATATTCTTTAGAAAAATATTTCTCAAAGAAAAAGCAGGGGATAGTTGAATCATCAGATCTCCAGTTCTGAAGCATATGTCCCAGCTGTGCTATTTTCATCACACCAATTGGCTCATATAATTTAGACCCATCTCCAGAATGGTACATTTAATCAAAGAAATAGATTGATACAACAAAAATAGCCCCTGACAAAAATTGCATCCGAACATATCAACATGTGTGCAGGCCTGCCCTTTATTGCACTCACATTCCTGATCTTTCTGCAGTATGCAAAAATATCAGAAAGAGACTTAGTCATCTGAATGGTTATGACCATTTCAACAAATGTTATAGTGGAAGGAGATAGTGAATCTGCACTAAATGGTGCAAATGTGGCTTTATGTATTACATATGGGTAGGGTCACAGTTTCAGTTTTTTAGATTTTTAGTTAAGAGTTTTTTTAAAAAAAACACATCTAAACCTACTTAGGGCTTCTATAATTCACAAGTGTTTATTGCCTCAAAATAGAGGGAAAATAATATTAATCTTCATCAATAATAATCAGGAGGTACAGGAACCACAAAAATAGGGTTACATTTAATTTGGAATTGTAGGTTCCCATGCCACAAAATCAGAGTTACCGTATTTATCGGCGTATAACACGCACAGGCGTATAACACGCATTCCCTTTAAGAGGGAAATTTCAGGAAAAAAATATTCTCTAGGTTACTAGATACTGGCCACTATAAGTCTAATTCACGCTACCAACGTTTGATTGCCTGATGTACCTTACAGATTCAGTGGTTTCCAGCAGGCATTGGGGAGTTTCCCAGAAACTTGATGAACAGTTCTGCCAGGCATCTAATGAAACTCTGGAATTTGTAGACAACAAAAGTGTTTGACAAGATCACCTCCGAATGGCCTATCACTAAATTATGAACTGGGGAAGGGGGAGGAAAGGGGAAGGTTTCCTTGGTTTACTGAGAAGCTCCAGGAGATGAAATATCAGAAGAGCCACCTGGAGCAATACTGTCAAAAGACAAAGAATGAATAGGATTCATTGCTTGCCAGTGACAAATAATGAATATGATTAAGCACAGATACAAATAAAGGTTTTTTTTTTTGTCAATCCAGCAGTGGTAAAATGAAGGTATCCCCCTTTTGGGGGATAGTGAGTGAGAACTTCCCCTGGGCCATTGCAACTTTTTGTGATGAACTATGTAAGGAAAAAAATTATGTATCTTTGTTTGTTCAGTTACAGGCCAGCTGGGCAGAACTATTGGGATAATAGAAGTGAGATCTTCCAAAAGAATGGGATTTATTGTGAAATTAGTTCTACAGCCATCTACTTGCTGATCAATGGAAACATAATGTATGTTGTACGAGGCACATTAGCCTTTGGTAGTGTTCCAGTTCTGGACTTTGCCAGTGAGGGATATTAAAGAAGCAGGAACCCAGAAGCACCTTTTTGTGATTATAGAGATATCTTGAGAGTGTATAATTTGAAGAAGAAGGGAGCTGAATCTTTTTGCTTGCTCAATTCTCTTCAACTTCAACCATAAAAAGTCGCCCCTCCCCCAATTCTGCATTTGCTTTTGAGACCACAAAACTGAAGAGTTGCATGTGGCCTGCAGTTCACATACCTGTGGCACTCATAGATGTTCTCTGTATTCCTACAAACAGTTTTGCCTCATGCTTCCATCTTTGGCTACTGGCTGGACTGGTAGTTCATCCCTTAACAATGAACTAGTATCTGCCAACTTCTTGAAGGATTGCAAGCTATCTTATGAACTTCAGGGCAAGCTTCCTAACACAATCTGATATTTCACTGTTAGCTCCTGGGATTTGCTTCCTGAGGAGGTGTGATGACCCAGGATGGGATACAAAACAAATACAGTCACAGAAAACAGGTGAAGCCCCCTTTATTCCTTCACTTTGCTTCCAAGCTCCGAATATCCTTGAGGGAAGACAAAAAAAAACTCCCACACAAACAGTTACAAGAAAGAAGAAAAAAGCAACATAAACCAGGCAAGATAAGGGCTGGAGGACGTGCACAGATAATAAAACATACCCTGGGAAGGATGCTACACTCAGAGAGGAACCATAAACTCGGGATATTTCCACACTTTGTTTCCAGCGCTCGCCTGTACGCATGTCTGTTCTCTTATTCAGTTGTCACAGGTGCAACCCATGAAGAGGATCAAGGCTCTCTCCTCCTGAGTAGACCACATGTCTCCCTTATCCTCTCCTCTCTGCATGCCCTAGGATGGAGAGGGGATGGGCCTGGGTCCTCCTCTGGCTGCTCAGATGGCCTCTGTCCTTCCCAGCCTCCTCCACAACCTCCAGAGCCACACTTCCACTCCCTGTCGGCTGTTCCTCCTCTCCCTCAGAGTCAGACTCCACCAGGGGCATGACAGGAGGCTTCCTCATTTTGCCTAAGGATAGGCCCATCTCTGCTTCTGCACCTTGAACCAAAGCTTTACCTCCTTTGCCAAACAATGCTTCACAAGGACATCTCTTTATGTCCTTATCTTTCAGCAAATGGGAATGGGATAAGTGCAGGCCAACTTTTTCCACTGGATGATCATGCCCATAGACTTCACATGTTGGTGAAGAGATATGTGTAAACAGAAAACCCCTTGCAGAAGAAAGTTAATATAAAAAGGTTACTTATATACCACTTAAATTCATGTGGAACCTGACTCTCATACATGATGTTGTGGAGATTGGCCTCTTAAAAATGTAAAACCTACCTTCATCCTATCTGCTGCGGCTTATTCTTCACTTACCTTTCAACCCACAGAAAAATAAGATCATTCCTCTTAATGTTGAAAGGCCCCAGGCATCATTACAAAGAACAGTCCTTGTAGCATTGCTGACTGCATCTACAGCCATTTACCTGTGGTTATTAATAAACTTTCAAGATGGTTAGTTAAAGTGAAGGAAAACAAAGTCACCTGTAATGCAACGGTGGTGTTCTTTGCAGGGTATTTTCCCACCAGTCCTTGTTCTTTCCGTTTCTTGAATTTCCTAAAGTAGTCCTGTATCAGAAAGGTGGCATAGAACTTCCCCACGGTTACCTCATCATCTAAATGAACAGACCAGAGAGATGTCTCCCACCTCAGCGCATTTCATTAAAAGCCAATATATACTCTATCCAAGTGAGAAAAAAATGTGATTGGTGCTCTGTGCGTTAGGATTCTGGCTTATAACAAGGCAACCTGAATCTAGCATAAAGCAATGTTTAACAGGTAAACTAGGCTAAGCAGTAGAAGCAGATAAGTGAACTATGTCTTATGAAAGGAAAATAAATTATTTTATTAGAATTCAAAGAGGAAGCAGTTCTTTCAAGAGGCTGATAGTCATGGACCCGAAATATTTTCATCTGTTTGAACCAAATTACTACAATAAGAGCATCCTGGGAAATTCACAGGTTTATTTGGACTTGGTCCTTTTAAAGGAGGGATGTACAACTTTTTAGGCAACAGCTACATGCTGGAGATGGTAAAATTTAAATTTAATTAAATAGCTAAATTGACAATTTCCCCTCCATGTCAAAAAATTGTAATTTCACTATCAAAATTTTATGGGGATTACATGTAGCTTTGACATGATTGATAAAAGGAACTTATTTTTATAACAAATTCAAATATGTCCGGTTATTGTTATTCACCTAACTTTCTAAACTATTGAGGTGCTATGTAGTTTTTCTCTTAGTGAAAATACTCAGCCAATTATACTCATAGAAAATAAAGTGACAGGTATCAGAAATCAGGCTTTGAAGCAAATGCTACTATCTTAAATTAATGTCCTTAGACTGGAAGCTTTGCTTCATAGGGTCTTTAGGAAGATTTGACAATGGAATACGAAATAATTTTGGCAGATGTTATTTTCCAATAACTGGTTATGGTGAATAGCATTATGACCATTAAAAGATATTACTTATGAGCGCTCATTTCAGGAACAAGTTAACTTTTACACTTGGCTCACAGTGAGATTCCCATTGCTGTACTCTTATTTCTCTCTGATAAGTTCCAAATCTCCTTTGATGGACTTCCACACTTGGTGGTGATTTGAAGATACAAAAGGGGCAGTTTTTCTGAAAACTGTGAAGAGTTTCTTTGGGTTACTAATATTATAATTTAATATTTTGTTTTGCTACCATATCTGATTTCAGAAAATAGATATTTTAAAAAATTCATGTTACTTTTTACGTATGAACAATTACAAAGAATTTCACTGCAAAATGGTCTTAAATGCCTTCCCAAAATAATGTTATTATTCTGGTTAGATTAACAGTAATACTTATAGAGCAAGTCCATATCTGATAACATATTTTATATTATACTCCATTAGAAGAATGAGAAGAACATAATTTAAGATTTAAAGTTGCTTGGTTGGGAGTCCAGTCTGTTCCATGCTGTCTCTTAAATAGCATTGTTGAGCTTGATATTATTTTGCGAAAAAAATGTCTTTTGAAAAGGTCCTCATCAACCTTCATTTGTGACAGTGGAAGCTTAGAAGTCCTAGCAATTTAACGTCAGGTAATTTTTTTTTCTTTAAATCATCATGGTTATTTAACTATATTTGAAAAGAGCACTTAATGTGTAATCTATCTTGGAAACTATTTTCTTAAAATGAATCTCATTGAAACTACACCTGAATTAACTTCTGCTTTGAACCACTAAAATGTCCACAAAATGGTTGCACTGAATGTTTCCCTGTCCATATAAACAGGATCCTTTTGAATTTAGTTCAGTGGAATATCATGCAATAGTGACATGCATTTTGAGCCTACAGAAAAAGGAAAATGGAATGATAAGAATTTGATTCTTTGGTTGGGCCAACTGCCTGTTTGCTGTGTCTTGATCGGTGATGCCTATATTAATCTAATATGTCGAAGGAGACACCAACTGACAAAGTACACACCTTAAGGACTACCTCTGAATAAAAGACAGTGCTAAAACTTGGATGCCATAAAAGTAATAAAAGAAATGAAATCTGCACACAGATCTGATATTTGTAGTGTTTAAGGTACCAGATTAGAAAGCAGGAGACTGTGAATTTAAGTCTCACCTTAGCCATGAAAGTGACTTTGGGCCAGTCATTCTCTGCCCAACCAATCTGACAGGGTTGCTCTTGTGGGGAAAATGGAAAGAAGGCATGTTGGTTATGTTTGCTGCTTTGAGTTATTAGTAGAAATAATAAAGGTGAGATAAAATTAAAAATATTGATTAATTAAGATAATTATGAGCTTATTATAAAGCTCAAAAGTTCTCAAACTATTAATTTTAATAAGAGAATGCTATTTAAAATGGATTTCAGAAGACTAAGAAATAAACTAAATGGGACAAAATACTTTGTATGCTATAATAGACAAACATGCCTTAAGATGGCCGATGAGAATATACAAATGTTTTTTTCTGATGTATAAGCATGTTTGAAAGTGGATATTCACAAATCCATATGTCCACATTCACCTGCCTTTGCTTGCAATTTCTTGCTTGTAGTAGAACAGCAGAATATGCAAAGGGGAGAGACGCGGGGCCTATTTCATAGACCAAACATGGACCCTTTCTTAGTTTCTTCATTTGGGCACAGTATACACTGCTAGGTATCTGAAGGGGAACAGCTAGGAAGAAGTGGGCATAGAAGAAACAGAGCTGAATTAGGGAATGAATTCCAACAAAACAAGCATGGAAGAAAAAAGAGAATACTAGATAGGTGTCAGTGTGCTTGGAAAAGAGTTAAGAATAGGGGCATTAAAAGAAACCTTGGAATAAAACAGACAAATTCTAGTGGGATTTTTTTCCTATTATTCATTTTGAACCACATTTTTTGCAATGTAACTTGACATTTGATATTCCAATCACTTTTCGTCTCTTTCACGATATTAATACATTAAGAAAATTAGTGGATTTAATGCTAATAGTGTCTAAAAATATTTAATACCTTCTTATATTAATATTTCTTATTCTGTAAACTCTGCTTATTGAGAGATGGTGAAATGCTGTAACATTTAGTCTTGTCTGAGAGAGGTAATGCATATTGAAACTAATGAAATAATGTGACCTAACTTAACATAGATTAAAAGCTTTGGCCTGTCCAACATACAGTGTGTCCTACATTCATCTATTTTCTTGATTTGATCTGAAATATAAACCAATATAATTCACAAAGTTTTCTTCAAATTATGATGTTGCTTAAACTGAAGCTATATAATCTTGAACTTATTTCAGGCTTGTGAGAATCTGCAGGCTTACTTTTCTAAAGGTTTGTTTTTATTTCATATTCCCAGATTATTATGATGCCCTTTCCTTTTTCATGTTGCCTATACTCTATAAAGATTTCCTTCTGCTTGTGAATTGAGTGTTGCATCAAAATTTGGCGGTCTTCCGTTTCCTGCATTTTAATGACAACTTTTGTGCCTTTGCTTTAGGCAGGTTCTTGTCACAATACACTGAGATATCATTTTGTACAGAGTGATGCAATTGTGCTGAACTCTCCAACTCCACTTTAAAGGCGGCCTACATGATGTGTTAGGTCTGAATCACATACTCAGTAAAAGGCTCTTCATGCTCAGTTTAGACAGCCACGGCTTACTATTCTGAAGCATGTCTCTGCATTTCAATAAAAAGAGGGGAATGAAGCTGGCCAGAGGCAACACTGATTCCATGCCACCACCCTAAAACAGAATTGCTTCAGAATATTCTGAAAAGACTGATAGTTGAAAGGAATAGAGGCTGCAGAAAAAGCTCAAGCACATTGTTACAACAAAAGCAAACTCATCTAGGCCATGCAAGAAATCAGCTGTGCATCTAGAAAAAAGCAGAAGGGGACAGAGAAATGTCATTTTAAATGTGCAGTATCTGTTCTCTGGACAGTTGGCATTGTCCCATCCCATCCTGAATCAGAGTTGTCAGTTGCCAGGGGCTTCTTCTGGGCTGGCTGAAAAGTAGGACAGCTAAACATTCTCTCTCTCTCTCTCTCTCTCTCTCAATACTAAGGAGGTCATCTTTGGAGAGAGGACAGAATTTAGTACCTTCAGCAGTAAGTCATTTTTTAAACCTAAATCAGAGTGATCTTGAATGGCACAATAATGCTAAAGAAGTATAGTAAAGTATAAACATTTTAGAAGATGAACTCCAATAGCTGCAGTCTCTTGGATGTCTGACAGCAGCCTCAGATGTTTTCTAATCATGCAAGAGATCCTGCACTTTTAAAATGAAAACAGCAAATCAGAACATCACCCGCAGTCAACACTTTATCACTGTATCTATCAACAAGTATATTACATCCGTATATAATTAATATATACATTTTCATTTAACTTAGATGCATAATTTCATTTAAATCAATCATAACTTTCCTAGTTATTAACAGCGGATTTTTTACTCTGTATTTCTTAATAAAATTACTCTTGATTAACTATTTTGTTAAATTTTGGAGGCAACTTACCTTACATAATCATTTTGTGTTGAAGGAAAATAAATGAAAAAATGGCTCACAAATTTTAGACTAAATTCCAAATTTAAATGCATTAATGAAGATAATAAAGGCTTCTTGATTATTATTCTGAAGCCTATAAATTGAAAGGTTTATGTATAAGGGAAGTTTAAATTCTTTATTTCAGAATGCTATCTTATATATTTTACTGTAAATTAGTATCTAAAACTTTACTATCTTGTCATTTATGGTAGTTAATATTAGCATTCTGTTATAGTATTTTTCTGTGTTTTGTGTTTAGAATATAGAAGCTATGGCATGTTACTAACCACCAGCAGGAGGAACAACTTGGTCCAGGAGCTTCATACTAGTTTTCTTCCAGATTTTCTTTATGACTGCCCTGAGTTCTTCATTTGCTTGCTCTAGATTTCCTAAGGAGAGTGGGAAGGAAGGAAGGAAGGAAGGAAGGAAGGAAGGAAGGAAGGAAGGACACATATTATTAACCTGTAACTAAAGAGCAAAATATCAATATCTCTGCACATGGTTTGGATCTCTACAACTAAGCCAAAGTTAAATGAAGTTTCCACAAAAGGTCAATAACTTTGACACTAGCTTTCTCTGCTTTGCCTTAGGGACAACATCACATAGTAAATATGACTGCCTTAAGATTCAAGAGGCAGAGATTCAAGAGAAGCTCTATCATTTCCAGTAGCTTTGTAATATTCTCCTGCAGCAAGTCTGGCCAATTGGATTAATAGATTTTGAAGTGGTTCCTATTTGGCTTGGACTGTTTCAGGAACACCTCCTCATAGCTGCTTTTTTTTCAGCAAGGGAAGAGAATGACTAGAGCAGGGGTCTTCAAACTTGACAGCTTTAAGACTTGTGGACTCCCAGAATTCCTCCTCCAGTTATGTTAGCTCAGGAATTTTGGGAATTTAAATCCATAAGTCATAAGTTTGAAGACCCTTGGACTAGAGAAACAAACACAGTGGCCACCAGGATACATTTGAGAAGCTCACAAGCCTGAACTGGAGGGTGATAGCTGGTTTCACAGATCCTTCAGCAATCAGCACAGAAGGAATAATGGCTAAGATCCAGAAGGAAATTGACAGACACCAACATTAAGTACTGCTGACAGCCATTTCAATGAACAAGTATCATAAACAAGGAAGACTTTATACATTTATAGAGTGGTGGGATTCAAATATTGTTCCCATCAGTTCGGTGGGTGTGGTTTGGTGGGCATGCTTTGCACGCATGCATACACTTTGCGTGCATGCACATGCCAAACGCACCCTTTGCATAGGCGCAGAGATATTTGCGCAGGCACAGAGGCATTCTACCTTGCTTCCTGCAAGCCTACATGATCTCCCGGTCACTTCAGCAGCTGCTGCGCGGCACTATTCTATGCCGCGCACAGCAGCTGCACTTCAAATTCAGCAGATAAAGGTGAGTATGTGAGTCTGGGCAGGCGGGCAGGCCCAACAGCAGAGCTATTAGAGCAGGGGAGAGAACCGGTTCGGTCTCCGCTGCTCATCGCTCCTACCAGCTCTGAAGAACCGGTCAAATACCACCACTGCATTTATATCTTATCAGAGTTCAAAAAAAAAAAATAATCATCTGATGTATTGGCCATATACAAAACTTTATCTCCTGATAGTAAATTCCCTGAATGTTCTGAAGCAGCTGTCAAAAGGAAAACAATGGTTATGAATAATTGGTCCTCTAGTCTGCAGACACCAAATTGAAGCAAATGTGCAAAATAAAGAAGCTACTGATAGTGATGAATTTCATATTTGATAAAATATATTTTCTGATTGCATGTTACTTTGTCAGCAACAACAAATTCCTTTCTACTATATACAATTTTTGAGCAAGGCCAAGTTCAAATTGCAACTGATTCCTACCACCTATCCTATTTCTCAGTAAAAGAAACTATTGTCCCACAAAAAACTGAGATTTGGGGCTACAAACATAGCTACAATACTTTTACAGAGAACCATTAAGTTCAACCTTTTAAATTTACAAAATCTCCAGGGTGGCCACCACATATATCAAAGATCAGTACTAATTATTTGATAAGGAGAAATAAAGAATGATTAAAATATTTATTGTAGGTTCCTACCTTCAGTTTTGATCTTCAAGGCTGTTCTTACTAAAGCAAATAGAGTAGCATTAAACATAACTGTTCCATCACTGTTTAGGGGCATGTTCATGGCTACCAACCGCTGCAGATATTTAAAAAGGAAATAGACACAAAGAAGGTTTAGAATGTGTTTTATTAAATGTTTAAAGTATATGTCCAGGAAATTAATCTAAAATGCATTGGAGGACATATCATAGTCAAGTGTTTATTATTATTCATAGATGTCATGAGCTAAATACTACAGTGATAACTTACAAAATAGAGGAAATTCTGCCTGACACAAGAGTTCCATAAGTAAGTGTGTTTGTAATTAACACATAAAAACAATTCATACCAAACATACTTTATACATTAATGGAAGAAGATAAATATTTGGGATGAGCATACCATAATTACTATAAAGATTCATTTCTTTTTATTTGATAGTTTCATAGTTGTTTAGTTCTCTCATAAAATCAGTGGAAAATATTTATAGCTGAGGAAGAATAAAAAGTAATTTCTATAGATACTGATTCTAGATATCTTTGAAATTTAAAAATAGCTTATTTTATTTGCCAAAGAAAATAAGATGATTCTTTCCATCATGCTCTCATGGGTAATTCAAAGGCATTTGCTAATCTCAATTAATAGTAGAATGCTAGTTTCATGCTATGATTCAATTGCTTGCTACTTCTTTAGTATAAATGTTAAGCTATGTCTAGGCATTACCACAACACTACTGATCTGCTGAAGGTAGTATGATGTTTGTATATACAACTTCACTATAAATTTGGAAATGTCCGCACAACCAGAAGCTACTGTGCTTTTCCTGCTTATATTCTACATTGATAGGCAACAGTTTTTGATCAAAGGACCTCAGCTGGCCTTTTAGTTCTAGCTGGAAGGTACGTGAGTCACATGAGCCAGCAATTTCAAGAGCAAAATCCATTTTATGTATTTTTTTAAAAACTAAGAACCACCAATTTTCTTGCTTTAATTAGGGGGAGCTTTTTATGTATATGGGACTTCTTTACCTCCTTTCATAACTCTGAATTTAGGCAATTTATAAAAATTTTGACTATTGAATGAATTCTCCAAAACTTTCTTTTATTACCAGCCAAATACTACTCTGTATCAATGTACCAAAACTAAGGAAAGATGTGGCATTATTTTTGTAATAATATCCAACAGAGCTAGTGAAAAAGCTAATAATTAACACTGGACAATTAGGTGCAGTAAATATACAGACATCTCTTCTCTAGAAAAGTGCATTACGTAGAGGTTTTCAAAGAATCAATGACCTTAGCCTACCTTGCATGCTACCCTGTGAGGACATAACTTCCCAAAACCAAGGGGAGGCTGGATGCGTCGCAATAAAGTAACAACATCAAGATGTTTTATTCTTCCTCTATAAAAAAGATTTTTTTAAAATTAAATAGCTCCAGCTGACTTAAATTAGGCATTGTTTTGCTTTTAACCGCCATATTTAATGGCGATATATTGTAGTCATGAGCGTAACTTACTTTGCTTCAGGATCGTATTCTGACCATATTCTTTTAAATTCATCCAGATGATGTGGACCAAGGATAGACCAATCACGCGTCAGATAATCAAAATTGTCCATGATGACAGCCACAAAAAGATTGATAATCTTAAAAGCAATAGAAGACAATATTACCATAAAGTTCAGGTAGCAATCAGAAAGAACACTTTGAAAGTTTTGTTTATTTGTTTATTAAATTAAATTGTTTATGAAACAATGAAATAAATATATGTTAAAAAAAATTGTGCCAGCGAATCAATCTTGACTCCTGGTGACTGCCTGGAACAAGCCCTTATAGCTTTATTGGCAAGAGTTTGGAAGTGGTTTGCCATTGTCTGCTTCCTAGGGCTGAGAGAGAGCAATTGGCCAAAGGTCATCCAACTGGTTTGTGCCTATGGAGGACTAGAACTTACAGTCCTGGTTTCTATCCTGAAGTCCTAACCACTATACCAAACTGGCTCTCCATATTTAACTTATACCTTAGATCAGGGGTGTCACTGGATTTCTTCAAGGGCCAGATCAGTATTGTAGTTCTCGTCTACGGGCTGGTGGAGTGTATGTGTGTCAGTCAACAGAACGATGCCAGTCAATAGAAGGAGGTCAATGCTCCTTTATGGATTGCTACAAGATTTGATCTCCTTGCCACTACCATGCATAGCCACTAAGCTAGATCATCTGCTGGCATGAGTTGAGGTTTCAATATGCTGATGGTATCCAATCCAATGATATCTCTACCATGTAAGTGATATGATGGAAGTCCTATTCAGCGTCTGGAAGCTATGTTGGTCCAGAAATGGGATTTCACTAAAATCTATCAAGACAGAATTCTGAGTCCAGAAATAGTTCATATTTGATTCTGGATAAGATGCTGCTTCTGCAAATAGAGCTGTCCCACAACTTGGGAATCCTCTTGCACTCATGATTCTTGACTGAATAACAAGAATAGACAATAGGCATGAATGCCTTTCTATAACCATCATTATATTGATTATTTTGCTTCAGTTGTTATCTTTTCTGGATAAGAGGCTTTCCTCTTAGTCATTCATAACCTTAGCACCCTGCAGATGGATTACTTGCAGGGTTCTACATGAGACTGTTCCCTCCTTTGGAACACACATCTTACCCTTCAAATATTTATAACCCCCACTTCTTCCTATGTTTTTGGAAAGCCATAAAATCCATGCCCTTCAGAAAGCCTTTTGAGGAAAAATAAGAGCATGTTATCTTGAATAGGGATACACTGTACTGATGGACAATTGAATTAGCTCAATTTTGGTTTTCATCTGATATTAATACTGCAGGCATACAAAGTCTTTGAAAGGAGAGCACCACATAAGTAACAGCAAATAAGGAAAGTATAAACTAAACTAAACATATCATATACTTTGTGAGTTAACAGAATTAATCTTCAGTACATTTGACTGTTCAAATTTTAGCCATTCAGAAATTTTACTTTCTAGACTCACCAAAAAAGCACATAACATATAGAAACTGATGAAATAAATAATAGCAAAATTGCTTCCACATGTGTATTCTTCTCCAGGGTTATAATCAGACTCTGGATCACAACGTTTTCCTGGCATGCAAGCTAGCATGATGTCTTGCCAAGCCTCTCCTGTAGCACACCTTTAATATGGAACAAAGGAAGATAAAATAAGACAAATAATATTGTTTCTTCTAGCATAACATTACTATTATTGTTTCCTAATAATGGTCCCAGACAATGTGAGTGCGGGCACAGTAAAGAGATGTCATGCTATGTTGTTTATTTAAAATATATATTAAATCTTTATGTCTGTTCCCATTAAAATCTTGAAAGTATAAGAACATTGATTTTATCAGTATTAATGTACTATCCTGGGTTTCTTTTTAGTAATTATTCTCAATGGTTGCCTTATGACGTAGTGTAATAGGAATGTAGTGTAATAGGAGTTCTATATGTTTCTGTATTTCTGAGCAGCTTGTTTATGTAGTGTCTAGAACCCACATGAATTTAGGGGTTAAATGAATAAGCAGCCCAGAAACACAAAAATATGCAGAACTTCTATTACAATATATCATTAGGCAACCATTGAGAATGGCACAATTAACGCAGGAGGTATCCTAGTTCTCCTTTCCTCTTATACTTCCGAGAGTCAGGGTGGAACCAAGTTGCATCTCTTCCTAACCCTTCCTTTTTTCACAAGCTTAAAACATGTTTTTGCACATGATGTAGCCACCTTTGAACAGTTTCTCCAAGATCATTTCTGTTACTCCCCATTAAATTTGTTCCATCCCTTCTATTAAATAATGCCATCTTGTTAGACCAAGGACCAACGGTGCCTTTCGGTTATGGCACCTATCCTTTGAAGCAGGCTTCCTCATGCATCCTGCTCACGCTCCTGATCTGTGAAGTTTTGATTTCACAAGACTGTGAAGTCTTGATTTCCACCCTCCTCAGATATTGACGAAAAAATATAACTTTCCAGGAAGTTAGATAAACCCAATGTAAGTGTGGTTTGTGTTGTTGAGTCTGATACTTTAGCATATATACCACTTGACTATATGAATGTTGTTTTTTATTTGATCTATAGATATTTTATTCTATTGCTTTTGTTGATTCTTGTCAGTCACCCAGAATTCATACGCAAGGCAGACAACCATTTTTAAAATAAAATAAAATAGACAAAACCAATTTTAAGAGAGTATTATCTATGGGCATCTGGGACAAACCATGTTGTTGAAAAAAATGATGAAACATGAATATTTGTATCCCAACATTGAGTGCAGATAATGTAAGTCACATGGTTTTGTTGTGTTGTAAAAATACAGGTTTCATCATTTGCTTTCCTGTGCCACTGCAGCCAGTCCCACACAATCTACATACTTTGGAATCTGTGTAGACAAATTCTCCTCCATGCTGCATCGAGAGCCCAGGATGGGTTGACTCCTTCCTATGATGTCATTCAGCTGAGTCTGTACTAAGATATAAAAGTCAGCCCCCCCGGGAGAGACCCCAGCTTTTGACTCAGCTCCTTTCAGTCAGTAGCTGTGTCTCTGAAAGCATTCTGTTAGATAGCACTCACCAGCGATCTTCAGTACTTTTTTTCCTCGCTTCAAGCAGCTCCCAGGGATCTGGGCAGCTGCTCTTCCAGGAGAGCAGGGCTCTCTCTCTCCTGCAACGTTGGGAGCAGCGTTACCAGAGCTCTGTGCAGGCAAGCTGGGCAGCGTCTGTAGACCTCCCCCATGCCTGCGGTTTGGAGTGATCGTATAAATGATCAGCAAACTGATAAGAGCACAAGCCAGCTGATTGTGTGGCTGGATGCTGCATTTTTCCCTTGCTGACTTCATTCGGGGCTCTGTATGGCCTAAGGAGCGATTCTTCGATTTGGACTCTGTTTCCTCTCATCAACGGCCATCTTGGATTGAAGCCTTCCACCATGAGGTGAGCGGCCATTTTGTAAGCCTGGGAGCCATTTATACCCTAAGGGGCTTAACAGAAAAAATTCTAAACAGCTTCTTTCCAACGCAAGAGCCTTTATTCTACAAATGGAGCAAGATAAGGCTTAGGCAGAGCTTTCCCCCGCCAGTGGAACAGTCTCTCAAGCCCAATAAGAAAAAAAGACGTAGGCAACGCACCCGATCAGTCCAGAGGGAGGTGGCTGCTAAAATCAAAGCTAGGGCTCTAGCCCCTAAGAAGGCAACTCAGGCTGAATTGAGGGCAGAGAAGCGCAGACATGCAGCTCTAGAGAGGCAGTTCAACAGAACTATTCAACAGAAGGGAGTGCAACTACAGCATGTTTCAGGTGATACTCGTGGGCCCCAGCCAAGCCCTCCCAGGGGAGGAGAAATTATCTATGAGCCTTTCCATCCTCCATCCTAGTCTCCTGAGGCTCTTGCAGTACAATCAGATGCTCAGGATCTAAGCAGATCTGGGCCTTATTTCCAACAGGCTTCTGGGCCCTGTGCTCCTCCCCCTCCCTCCAGGCCTGAAGTCACCTTCACTCCCACAGCAGCAGGCCTTCTGCCTTCTGCCTTCTGCCTCTACCTTTGAGCATAGACCAGGGGATATCCAAGATGTTGTCTCATTGGCCATTAGGCAGGGATTGGCTGAAGGCTTCAAGCCAATTCTTCAACCTCTGGAAAGGGTCCAGGCCCTTCTCCCTTCTCAATCTATAAGTTCCTTGCCTCGTTGCCCTGATTTACACAGGCCTCAGGACCTCAGGGTCCATTCTTCTCTACCAGAATGGGAGGAGGTTGATGAGGAAGGAAGGCCTTCACCATCTGAACACAGTTACTCTTCTCATTCAGAGTGTGAAGAGGGTGAGATTTTTGACCAAAATCTTTCAGAGGAAGAGGATTCTCACCCAGAGCAGACTTCCTCTGCATTGGTCTTCAAACCTACTCTCTTCAGGCCATTACTCAGCAAGGCCTTGGTCAATGCCAAGCTGTCGCCAGAGGAAGTGGCTCCCGAGCCACAAGGAAATCCCTCTAGCCAAGGGGATTCGCTCTTCTCCAAGCCTGTAGTGCATGCAGAGGTTTTGCCTTCTCCCATTTTGTTCCTGGACATGGTCAAGGAACAGTGCGCTTCTCTTTCAGCAGGTCCTCGCCCATCTTCTCTGGATAAGTGTTTCTACAATGTCAGCACAGCTCTGGACAATGCCCTGGCAGTGCCTTCTGTTGACATTCCGGTTCTGGCCTCGTTCTCATCTTCTGGCACTCCCACGGATCCAGAATATATCCTGAAACTGGATGATAAATTCTCCGAACAGACCCACAGGTGCAATCACCAGGCCGCTGCTTGGGCTGTTCGGGCTTCAACAGCAGCATCCTTTTTCACGAGGACATCCATACGGTGGCTGCACCAACTCCAGAATAGATTGCCTGCTTCTCACCTTTGGTCTCACCAAGACCTTAATAAGATTATTGCAGCGGCGGAATTCACTGTGGATGCCACTCTCAATTCCGGCAAATTTGCATCCAAGGCCATGGCATCTTCTGTAGCAACAAGAAGACTTTTATGGCTCCAAAATTGGCAGGCGGAGTCACGCCAAAAATGGAAGCTGGCTTCAGTTCCATTCGCAGGCGATAAGTTTTTTGGTGATGCTCTGGAACCTTATCTCATCGAAACCAGAGATAAACGTAAAATTCTTTCTTCCTCTGGGAAGAAAGCCGACTATCGCCCTGCTCCTTATCACCCTCCTGCCTTCCGAGTGGAGACCTCATCTTGCTTCCCCTGCTCTCACAGGCCATACTCCCAATGCCAAGACCAACGGGTGGAAACATCTGGCATGCAACCACCTTCTACTGGTAAACGGCCCTTTTTGGGGGGGAGAGGGCATTCCTTCCATCGCTCTAAGTAATCCCTTGTTCTCCCCACCCATCGGAGGTCTCCTAGCCTTCTTTGCCTCCAAATGGGAGGAGTCAATGACGGACACCTGGGTGCTCAGCACTATTAGGTCAGGGTTACAATTGGACTTCCTAACTCCACTCCCCCCCAATTTTTTGATCTGCCCTGTCTCTCGGGACATTTCAAGGCAAGCCCTCATGAATCAGGCCATTTAGCACCTTCTTGAAATCAGGTCTATTCAACCTGTTTCCCCCTCTCCATGGGGACGTGGACTTTACTCTCGCTTTTTCATCATTCCCAAAGCCTCAGGGGGGTGGCGAGCCATCCTTGATCTTAAATTTCTCAACCAATTTGTAAAATACAGGCGATTTAAAATGCAGACTCTGCGTTCTATTTTAGAGAGCATTCGGGAGGGCGACCTCCTCTCTTCCATTGATCTCACTGAGGCTTACCTCCACATCCCAATTTGGCCTCATCATCACCAATTTCTCCGTTTCTGTTATCAGAATGTCTATTATCAGTATCGAGCATTTCCCTTCGGCCTTTCATCGGCTCCAAGGGTCTTCACAAAGATTCTGGCAGCATTGATGGCATCTCTGCATTCTATTCCAGTGAGGATCCAATGCTACTTGGACGACATTTTGATTCTGTCCTCTTCCACCCATGCAGCCCATCGGGATCTGCAAATTACCCTGTCATATCTCCAGAGCCACGGATTTTCCATCAACACCAAAAAGAGCCAGCTCTCTCCCACAACCAAATTGCAACACTTGGGAGCAGTCATCGATACCATGTCGTGCCAGGTTTTCCTGGAAAGAGCCTTGCAGAGATCATCAGCCAGATCCAGCAACATCAAATTGTCCCCCTGTCACTGATGTCCAAACTTCTGGGGAAGATGGTCTCCTGTATTGGCATCGTCCCATGGGCTCGGCTCCATTCCCGCCCCCTCCGATGGTTCCTGCTTCCCTACCAATGAGCAGGAACCAGCCACTCATCCATCAAGGTCCCACTCTTGCCACAAATCTGGAGATCTCTCAATTGGTGGCATTCCCCATCAATCTGGAGGGGACTCCTGTTCAGGGACCCAGACAGGCTAGTGATAACTACCGATGCCAGCCTCCTGGGTTGGGGCTCCCATATGCAGGGTCAGACAGCTCAGGGTGTTTGGTTCAGATCAGAGCAGGCCCTTCCCATAAATTGGCTAGAGCTCAGAACCATTTTTCTGGCTCTCAAGCATTTCAGGCAATCAATGGCCAGCTCTCATGTTCTAGTCCTTACAGACAACATGGCCGCAAAGGCTCATGTCAACTGGCAAGGGGGGGACGAGGTCCAAAGCCCTCATGAGAGTGGCTCTATGGTTGGGGTTATGGGTAGAGAAACACCTGTTGTCGATCTAGGTGGACCACATCTCCGGGGTCGACAAATCCCAGATCGACTGGCTCAGCAGGAGCCTAGTCGACCAGGCAGAATGGTCCATTCCTCCATCTCTATTCAGGGACCTTTCCCTCAGATTCAGAACACCAGGGGTGGATCTCTTCGCTCCTTAAAACGCCCAAGTCACCAGATTCTTCACCAGGTTTCCTTGCCAGGGAGCGGAGGGGACCAATGCTCTTCGGTGCAGATGGCCCAAGGGTCTCCTCTACGCCTTTCCCCCGCTTCCCATCATTCCGGCAGTAATTCGGAAGATGTTGGAGGAATGTGCGGAGCTCCTCCTCCTGGCACCCTATTGGCCAAAGAGGCCCTGGTTTGCGGACCTGGTCAACTTATCGGTGGCTTTTCCTTGGAGGATCCCAGCCCATCTAATCTCCCTTCACCAGGGGGCCCTGCTCCACCCAGAGCCCCAGTGGTTCAAGCTGACCATGTGGCACTTGAGTGGCAGCGACTAGAGGAGGCTGATCTTCCAGAAAGGGTCATCCTCACTATCATGGCATCTCGCAAACCTTCTACAAGGCACATCTATGATGCCACCTGGAAGGCTTTTTCCTGATGGTTCCTCAGGGAGTGTCTTTCTCCTGCTTCAGCCCAGTTGGCAGAAGTTCTTAGCTTCCTTCAGCATGGGCTGGAGAAAGGTTTGGCCCCCAACACCTTACACAGGCAGGTTGTGGTCCTCTCCTTGGTCCTTTCATGGGGTTCGCTTCCTTCCTTATCCCATTACCCTTCAGTCAGGAGGTTTTTGAAAGGGGCTTCCAACCTGTGGCCTCCGGTGGTTCACAAGATCCTTCCTGGGACCTTCATATGGTCCTTACAAAGCCTCCCTTTGAACCCCTTAGAACAGTGTGTCTCCGTTTCCTGACTCTGAAGGTAGTGTTCCTTGTTGCCATCACTTCTGCCATGAAGGTTTCCGAGCTTGCTGCTCTTTCCATCAGACAGGACCTTTGTTCCGTTCAAGATGATAGGGTTGTTCTTTGTCTGGACCCCTCATTTATTCCGAAGGTTTACACCTGGTCTCACAGGTCCCAGGACATTGTTTTGCCTGACTTCTGTCCTTTCCCACACTATGACTTAGAGTGGCAGTGCCACATGTTAGACGTAAGAAGGGCTCTTAGAATATACATTAAGTGCACTTCCTCCTTCAGGAAGTTGGAAGCCATGTTTGTTTTCTTTTTCCCTTCTCACTTGGGGCACAATGCCTCTTCTCCTACTATTAGCAGGTGGGTCAGGTCTTGCATTGAGCAGGCCAACAAAGTTGCGTCCCTTCCGGTTCCCCGAGGTCTGATGGCGCACTCTACCAGAAGTGCGGCCACTTCTCCTGCCTGGGCAACCCGAGCATCCTTGGAGGAGATTTGTTGTGCGGCCATGTGGACATCCCCATCTCCTTTCATCAGACACTACCGTCTGGATGCCTTTGCCTCAGCGACTGCAGCCTTCGGCAGACAGGTGCTTCAACGAGTGGTTCCACAGTCGGTGTGATGAGCCAGACGAGGACCCACCCGTGGACATGCAAGCTTTGGTATGTCCCATCCTGGGCTCTCGATGCAGCATGGAGGAGAATGGGCATTGGTAGAAGTTACCATGAATGCCCTTTCTATCTATGCTGCAAGAGAGCCCAGCCGCTCCCTTGATTTGTCTGGAGAGTGTAAGACATATTTCTGTATTTATTTTGGGCTTTCAGAGACACCTGTCAGTCTGTCAAGTATCTTCGCCAAAGCTGGGGTCTCTCCCGGGGGCTGGCTTTTATATCTTAGTACAGACTCAGCTAAATGACATCATAAGAAGGAGTCAACCCATCCTGGGCTCTCTTGCAGCATAGATAGAAAGGGCATTCACGGTAACTTCTACCAATGCCCACTGTCACCAAATTTTCTTAGTCTGAACTTTAGTCTGCTGCTTAACTAGCTTATACTATATATTTTCTAACTGTATGGTGCTACCTCTGCACTTTCTGTTCCCTGGATGGGGCTTTCCTTCTGCTTTTCCTATGAATTTCCCATTTTTTAATTTATTGTTGATACTTCTTGTAACCCCATTGGACAGGATAGGGAGACAGCAGCTATTGAATGTATACTTTTAACACAGACTTACCTAACTGTACTGTAGTGTTATTTGGGGCAGTCACTGAGGACAATATATGTAGACAGTACATGATTAGGCTGCCTAAATTGCCTTTTATTTTTCATATGTAATGTCTACTCATGTTCAATTACACATTCTCGTATCAATCTTTGGCAATCAACATTTTAATTGGAAGTCACTGCAGGTTATCTCCTGCAGTCCTTTCTCTTTTTCTGTTAGCTACTGATGACCACAGAAAGTATATCATGAAGTGGCTCTTTCTGCATTCTGAAAAGTATTGAATGGGACAGCTGTTTCAGGCTGTTTACAATATGGTAGAAGTTAAAGTGAATATTTTCATTTCTTTTTAAGTAAAACATCGAAGGTCTGAAAAATTGTAAAAATAATTTTTAAAAAAATCACCAAATAATAGAGAACAAGCAAGAAGCTGCATTTCCTGCATTCTAGCTTCTTCACTGTCATTTTTAATTCATTGGCAGGCTAAATATATGTGGAATACTCAGAAATTCCTGCAAAAGTATCATAATGATTCAAATGATGTCCCATTAGATTAGATTAAGGTACGTTAAATATTTTACTTGTTTTTGACCTATATATTATATGTACTGTTGAAAGAACAGAAGATTAATTTCGTATGCTAACAAAGAGTTTTTTCACAACCTACCACAAAATCTTTCCACATACTTTTGAACTCTTTTTTTTCTTCCTAGAGTTTTCCCACAAATTCAGGGTATCCTTTTTTCAGGTCAACCAAGGACTGATCCATTTGATTGCAACAGGAATTGGTCAACTGGTTTATTGCCCTAGCCTGATGTTGTGGGCTGAGAAAGAAAATGACTGGCCCAAAATCACCTAGCCAGCTTTCATGCCTAAGGTGGGACTAGAACACACAATCTCCTGGTTCCTAACCTAGTGTCTTAACCACCAGACCAAAATGGATTCTTATGAACTTTATGCCAGTAAGAACAAATAAATTCTACCGGAAGAGAAGAAGCACCGCTTGGGGGAAGGTTTGAAAGTTGTTGTTCCTGTTAATTTGATTGCCATCTTTCAGAGCAACTTTGCCAAATACCTGAAAGAGAAGTAACAGTTCATTCATGGTAACCTTTTGCAATTTTGATAAACCCCACAGTTGGGTTTCTGCAGTATTGAGTCAGATGCTTCTAATACAAAACCTTTTTTTTATTTTTGAACTCCAATAATAATAATTATTATTTACTGGCACATTGTTCCTTAGCCATAATTGTCAGATTTACAAAACAGGTTGGTAGTAAACTTCAGCTCTCCTGGTGTTTAATCTCTTATTTTGGATTATTTTACCTGTTAAAATAATTAGGTAAAATAGTTATCGGTTTGGATAACTTAGAACTCTGTCATTTGTGGTCAAACCTAGATATTGCATACAAAATTATATGTAGTAATGTTTTACCTGTAAATGATTTTTTCTGTTTTAATCACAATAATATGTGCACGAACAACTGCTTTAAACTCAATGTAAGTTTCAAACTTGACTGTAAAAAAATACGATTTCTGTAATAGAGTTGTCAAAGTCTGGAATGCCCTGCCTGATTCAGTTGTCTCAGCTACAAATTTTCACAGTTTCAGTCACAAATTGACTTCTGTGGACCTTACTTCATCCTTAAGTGGTCCAGTAGAGGGGTCCTGCATAAGTGCACTAACGAATCTATCGTTCCTGTCATTGTATTTTTATTCTCTTATTCTTATTCTCATTTTTGTTTGACAAATTCCAATAAATAAACAAATAAATAAATGACTTTTAGATATGAATCAATTGGATGAAATTCTATTATAGACAAAAATACCTTTATATAGATCAGTGTTCCAGTTGAAAACTAGTTTTTTTTTTCTTCCCATCTTTCTTAGTTAACTGATGTTTGGGCAGCTTAAACATATTTATCTAATTCTCTAACATCCAGAACACTGTTTGCCATCTTGCCATATTTGGCCCTTGCATCATCTTCATCTCTATTGTCTTGTCCCCTTCTATGTCATTCATTTCCTCTTCTGGTTGTGGGTGGCTGGAGGGTCTTTGCTTATATTTCAGTTTAGATGAGGCAGCCAGGGAACACCTTAAGGTGTTATACTCAGAATGTGGTTGCTTCTCTAATATGATAATTCTTGACTCTTGAAAAATGTATCTTTTCTTTTATGTACACTGAAAGCATTTGCACCAAGACAAATTCCTTCTGTGTCCAATCACACTTGGCCAATAAAGAATTCTATTCTATTCTATGTTGTTCCTCAAGATGCTGAGTTTGGACACTATAGGGCTGGTTTTGTTTCTTTCATCCTTCTGTCAACCAGTTGGCTTATTAGCAAGAAGCTAAAAATTAAACTTTAATTGTTTGTTGCTAACCTTTAAACTTTAAAGTTTAAAAATTAAACTTTGTTTGTTGCTAACCTTGTAAATGAATAACTTGCAAATTAATTATTCAATTAATGAGAGCATGAAGCGCATGGAGTAGTCACCAGACAATTGACGGAGGCTTTTCACTGGATTTTCACTTTGGGTTGGAATTTCAATCTTCACATGGGATTTTGCATATTAACAACATATAGATAGCAGCACAACACAGACCTATTCTGGTGCACAGTATCAGGGTCATCAGGTAGACCAGAGCATAAAATCAGCTTCACATAATAACTACTTATATTTAGATTGACTTATAAAAGAATCATGAAAGTCTGATTGGGCTGTATCTCCACCTCCTTATAGTTTATAGAGAATTAAGAAGGAATCTGCTTGAACCAATTTTAAGTGTTATTTGGACATTCTAAACTTAAATCTTTGGCCAAGTTCCTATAGATCTTTATCAAGGGTTATCTTTCTGACTCTCTGCGTTGGTGGGCATGCATTGTGTATGCGACAAGATTTTAGAATAGCATGATTTTCTGATGGTAGCAAAACAGATATTGAGTTGTGGCATATACTTGGAAAAATATCCCTAAAAATGATTGGTGGAGCATCTTTGTGCTATGACAAACAGGCCCAGAGCAAGACTGAGTGAAAGAAAGTAGTACAGTTGTAAGAATTGGAAAAGGAAACTGAAAGAAACTGGAGAAAAAGTAATGGAAAATAAAACAGTGGGCAGAAATTTGCAACCCGCCAAGCAGCCTTTACAGCTTTTATACATTCTCATGTGCTTTGTTTTCCCCAACCGCAAACTAAAAAGTGCCAAATACTTTAGCACTTTGTTAAGGAGCAGCTAGTTTAACCCTTCAAAATGTTTATTATATTTATCGGCAACTTTTCTAATTCTATAATATTTAAAGAAAGACCCTGTTTATATTTAGTTCTGCTGTTTTCAATCCTAATTCCTAATATGTATTTTTTCTGTTGCACTGCTACCATGCTAATGATCACTATTTCATTGGTTTATCTATCACTATATCAATTGCCATGTTATGGCATCTTTGCAAGCTTTTACTATATAGAATAAGGTGTTGCAATACACAAACCTCATTTCCCATCTGTGAGTGAGTTAAATAGCATTGACTGCAGTTCAGTCCAGGGATTAAAAAAAAAAAATCCTTTAACTGCTATGTTTGGCCAAGAGTCTTAATGAAAGTGTTGGCAGCAAATTAGCACATTCTCTATATACAGTAGGTACTCTAACACAGTTTGACAAGAGACTGTCAATATGCCATCCCTTAATAACTGGCTTACATCACGTACTTCCTCATCAGGAAATAATTTGTTTTTATTACCTGCATTCCAATAACTGCATAGATGAAAAACAACATAGCTATCAGAAGGGCAACATATGGTAGAGCCTAAAATGAAAAGAAGTTTAAAAATAATAACTTGCACCTATTTTTGAAGCTATTATGCATGGACTATACATTTTTCTATTTTTAATTTCTACTCATCAGAAATAAATAAAAATTGGCAGGGTTGGCAGAGAAATAGTTAATTAAAATGCTATCCACACATGAAAGTATGTTGTACTAAATTACGCTAATGTGTTGACTTCAATGTTGCTTGCTGTTTCAGCGTGGTGACTCAACATAAAGGTGAGTCTTATTTTATTTTATTTTAAATGTTATTTTAAAATAACATATACAGGTAATCCTTGACTTACAACAGTTCATCTAGTGACCATTCATAGTTATAACAGTATTGAAAAAAGTGGCTTATGACTGTTTTTCACAGTTACAACCTTTCCAGCATCCCCATGGTCATGTGATCAAAATTCAGTTGCTTGGCAACTGGTTCATAGTTATGACCGTTGCTGTGTCCCAGGGTCATATGATCATTTTTTGCAAACTTCTGACAAGCAAAGTCAATGGGGAAGCCAAATTCACTTAACAACCATATTGCTAACCTAACTGCAGCGATTTATTTAACTGTGACAAGAAATGTCATAAAATGGGGTAAAACTCCCTTAACACATCATCACTTAACAACATAACTTTTAGGCTCAATTGTGGTTGTAAGTCAAGGACTATCTGTACAGGATTAGACTTTATGATTAATAAATGCTTTTGAAATAATTTCAATTAGTAACTTCCATCCTGTTGAACAAATTAAGAAATATGATGGCATATTTCTGAATCAAGAATTAGCATGGTTGGTGTAACGGTAATGGTTACAAACCAGGTTATTATCCTTGTAATCATGGGCACACAGAAAATATGCTTCACCAATTTCTTGTAAAAATATTTAATCAGAACTGCAAAGAATTGGGCACAATTTAAGTGCTATGCAGATTATTCTATTATTCAGATCAGAGGTGGTATTCAGCAGGTTCTGACCAGTTCTGGAGAACCGGTAGCATAAATTTTGAGTAGTTCGGAGACCCGGCAAATACCACCTCTGGCTGGAGATCTTACAATCCTTTCCCCTGCCACACCCACCAAGCCACACCCACAGAACTGGGAGTAAAAAAATATGAATCTCACCACTGATTCAGATCTATACTGGGGCCAAATACCTATGGAACTGTCTTCATCCCATCACCTCAGCTCATCCCACCCAACCAGGCAGGAAGGGTGTGTTACAGATCCCATCATTTAAAGAATTCTTATTGGTGGATTCTAGCTGTTGCCCCCACCCTGTGGAATATTATTCTGCAGAGGTGAGACTTGCCCCAACTTTCCTAGTATGTCAAACAGGAGTTAAGACATGGCTCTGCAGCCTTACATGATGAGCCCAGGGGAATATGCAGTCATGGGGTCAGCCAATTATCCCCTGAAAGCCCTCTCTTCCCCTTTTAACTAATTATAATATCTTGTCTCCTCTTAAATATTTAAAATGTTTTTAACTTTTATATATACTGTTTTATATTTTAACATTTTAACATTTTATTGTATACCACCACCTTCTATACCACCATCCTCAGACACACAAGGGAGCTGGGCAGTACATAAATGTAAAAAATAACTAAAACTAAATAAAATAATGTAAATATATATTCCAATCAATATATATGCATACTCATGCGGACATACACACAAAAATACACACATACAAATGTATACACACAACAGAGAGACACAGAGATATTGAACATCCTGATAATACACAGAGCCATTCACCATTGTTTATACTGAATTTCACTCTGGCTCACCGTGCAATACCTAATACATTGCATTTTGACTCGAAAAAAGCAATTTATTTTAAATGTTACACATACCTGAAATGACTTAATAAATGTCCACAATAAAGTTCGGATTCCTTCTCCCCTGCTGAGGAGCTTCACTAATCGCATAACTCGGAACAGACGGAAAAATGTGATGGAGATTCTAGCACTGTCTTCACTGTTCTATAGGGTATTATACAGAAATCAAATCATGTTAAAAAGCAGAATACAGAACAATTCAGGAAAAAGAAAAACAATAACAAATGCAAAGGTGAAAGAAGTAAGGTTGGAATATGTGTTTCTAGGTCCTTTTCCATTTTATAAGTATGAGGTGACAGGAAAAAATTACATGCTGGTACACAAAATCCATACAAATGCTTCACTCATCACATGCATTTCCATGCTTTCCACATTGTTAATAGGGTCAAGTTGAATTTGCCTGTGGTACTCTTTGATAGGTACATCGACAACAAAATCAATCACTGCATACATTTTTATAGGACAAATACAGAAAAACCAGTGGAGAAAAGAATAATAAAAAGAATAAACTTGAAGTAGAGGTACAATCACTGGGGTTAGTTTGCTATCTTACCCCAGATTCATCAGTTGTGACAGTTTCACTTGGCTTTGGCTTTAAAAAATTAAGAACATTATATATTAAAATCAAAGTAAAAATGCTGAAAAATAATTCTACTTGATGATACTGTGAAGAGGGGAAAAAAGAATTCAAATTAAAGTTTCATAATATGATGCTGATTAAGAAAAAAAAATCCTTTTGACCTATGCCTTCATTAGTCATTTACGTTACTAACGGAATTGTGCAAAATGTTATGTTCCACACTGTAGTAAAATACACTTTGTTATTATTAAATTATCTGACCGTAGTTGGCTATTATGATAGGCTTCCCTTTAAACCATCCTTCCTCCAAATGATGTCTTCCATATCTGTTGGAACACAGCCTCTCAATTTCTTATCACATTTGTGTAATTTGCAGAATCCCAACACATCTGCAAACCATCAGGTAAGGGGAAGCTCTATTGATCCACTAGTCTTCAATTTGTGGGTAGTTATCCTAACTGAGTTGGGAGCTGATGGCATAGAAGTAACAATATCACAATTTTTAAGGTGAGAAATTGTAAAGAGAGAAACAGAGAAAGTGAAACAGAAAAGAATGGTGCCTCTCTATATAAATTATTGACCTTTTTACTATAAAACTCAGAGGTATTTGAAACTTGTTTTGTGTTGTTTGGGTTATCATAATGCTTCATAACAGCATAGGATTTGACGAAGGGCTATTATTCACTGGTGGAGATTCCATAGAATGGTGAACTTACAAGTAAGGAGTATGGTCTAAGATGAATACCTGGCATTCTGTAAAGTTATCAACGCTGTGTTGGTAACTTTAAAGGCACATCTGAATTTAGATGGATAATAATTCATGATTTATAAAAAGTTATCTTTCAGTTTCATCATTATTCTGATTTTCTCATAGTACAAAGATCTAAATTCTTATCAACTTCAGAGAAGTCCCTGTTTTACAGTCTATCGCTGCCTTTCCTGCCTTTGCACCCTCTAGGTATGATGGAACTGCAAACCTTCAAATTCAGTCCAGGTAAATTCTGAAGATGGAGAAAGTTAATCTATACTATCCTACAAGAACATTTTTCGAGTGCAGTATAAGTTGTTCTATGTTCACCAGCAAATTAAATGAAGAAAATAAAAACTGAATGGGAAGTTCCAGTGACAATCTGCTAATAACTTTGTTTCTTAAGAAACAATATGGAACTGAGAAATTTTGAAAAGTCTCAGATTTTAATAGTTTGGTGATTGTATTTTTAAAGGGAAGAGAAATCACAAATGCAACAACAAGGGAGCAAGAAATACAGCTCCTGTAAGAATGTTTGCATGTATTATTAAATGAGTATTGGTCAAGAAATCATTATGAAGCATAGGCAGCATATTGCCATAGTACGTGCAGATGTACTGCTGGCAGTAACATTCTGTGATGATAAGGCTAGTAGCATTTACTATCCATGGGGGCTTTCCACTCTCTGTGGAATTCAAATTACCACCTGATTGGGAACAACTGAGATAAAAGTTTGCTTTAACATCCTGAACATTTGATTGGTTCCTGGGGAGAGCAGAAGAGTACTGGGTTATTGAGGTCATTGACTTGATTTTTAAAAAAGCTTTTCTCACATTCTTAGGATAAAGAGTGCATTGTTGCTCTACCATTACTTGAGTGCAAATGTGATTTTCTTGCTCTGAGAGACATAAATACATACAGAGCACAGATCGAGTTAATTGCAATGGTAATAAAGATAAAAGTCAAGAAATAGTGAGAGAAATTCCCAAATCCTTGCTTTATATGGCCAGTCATCTGAATATAAACTGTTATAACAATTAAGTTACAACTGGGTCTACTCATATTAGAAAATACCCCCAAATATTTTCTGACATTTAACAATATAATATTTGATGTATGTTCTTTGCTCAAATAAGAGGCAATACTCTCATACCCAGGAGAATATTCTAATTAATACTGGCTAATGTGCATAAGGTACAGATTCCTAATATTTAGAATTGCTAAGAAAATGGACTATTTGGTCCTTACTTTATTAAAACATTTTACCAAAAGCAGTTAGATCACTTTGTAATCTGGCTATCATGTCCCCTCCAGGGAACCACAGACCACAAGTTGAGAACTACTCCTTTAAAGGACTAAATGTGCCTGAAGTATGACAACAAAAGAAGAGCTCTAACCTGGATTTTATTTGAATGTCTAAATATGTCTCCCAGGATTCTTTCACAACATTTTTTCATTTTCATTTTGCATTATATTATGTATATTAACAACTCAGTTTACAGTTTTGGAAGTCAATATGCTGAATATGCTGAAATGTCCTTTTATGTGGATTTTAAGAATCTTTGTAAACCTATCTTTAGAAATGAAACAAATATGACACATCTCTTATCTTGTCTAGGCAAAAGGCACAAGAAATAATATAAGGAGGAATGACTTGTGATTACAAGTAATGATTACTTACTTGCTATGTATCATTCATTTCTTCCCCTTTAAACTATAGTCTGTTACTATTGGGGAGAGTAGTGTGATATCACAAATATGTTATTTATTTATCACGGGTATAAGTGCTATTATCTAATCTCCACATTTGGCTTTACAGATAACTGATATCAGTTTGACTTCTAATGAAATGGCTTATATCTGTTGACACTGCTAATGCTGCATCCTGTTTTCACAAGATAGCTATCGCTGCCAAAAGGTAATGAGTTTACTAAAAATAATTTTAGAATTTTTTAAGCTGCTAGATTTATAGATGACATTTTTAACACCACTGGATTACAAGGTGTATACTTTTATTTGGGTGGGTGGGTGGGTGGACGGACGGACGGACAAACAGACAATGATAGATAGATGATAGATAAAAGATAGATGATATGCGTGTAGGTAAACATTCATCTTTTTAAAAATTAAAATATATAAAAATCTTCTTCTCCAATCTTGTGTCTTATTTTACTTTTGATTGCATGTATCTATTTGTAGCTTCTGTTTTCCATTTCGTACCTGGTTTAATTTAAAGTTTTTGTAGTTTCTTTGAATACATCATTTATTTTTCTGAGGTCATAGCCATCTTTGGAATAAGGAATGCAGGCACATATGAAAAATATGAAGAAGGCAGTTCAAGCATGTAACCAAAACACTCTTCTTTATTCTGTAAGTTGTGAATGCAATGCATGTTTTACAGGGGACAAGATTTCCTGCCATTTTAAAACCCTGCCTGAATGCACTCGGGGGAGAAAGTTGGGATATAAATTAAATACATAATCGCAAAATAATTTTGAAAAGTGGCACAAAATTGTTAAAAGCTAAATAAATCTAGTGTAGAACTGTCCCAAAATATAGCTGATATACTTGAAAGGCCTCAACAGAGAATGGCACACCTAGTGGAATCACTGATTCCAGAATTTAACTTCTTTAACTCCTAAATTTCAGATGAAATCTACCTTCCTGTAACTGTGGCCCATGAGATCTCTCGCCATGTGCTCAACGCAGAAGACAACATTGGGAACAAATATAAAGCTTTAGTTTTTTAAAGATATCATTATTCCTTGATGTTCCACATTGTTCAGACTGCATGCTTAAAGTTTTACATTTTAGGAATAACACACGTAAAGTGGAGGATGTCCAAAAGAAAGAAATCAAGGATGGTAAGGAACCTAGGAGGAAATATAATCAAAGGGTTGCCATATAGAAAACAGGTCTATGCTTTTTTGGAACAACAGTCATGCACCCTGAAATACCATCACCCAATGGTAACCAAGGAAGAAAGAGAAATAAGATACAGTACAAGAGGATGCTTCTGGATCCTGATCACATGATATGCATACTTTGGGACTGTGGTTACTTGCGATCCCATGTAAGGGAAAAGACTGGTTTTATTAGCAATGAAGAGCTTTCCTTTTTTTCTTACTTGACAAGAATCATATCTCACAGCAAACATCCTTCCATGCTTCATGAAGGGTTGATAATCCATTATTCAAAGTAAATACCATTGAATACATAAATATGAATCTACTTTCTTCCATATCACCTTGATTTTAAAGTTTGTTTTGTTGAAGCAGACAGTGCAGACAAATCATGAACATGCTCTTAAAATAACCATCCAAACTATTTCTCAGCCTGACATGTTAATATTACCATAAGTTCTTATAAAAATAAGTATGTCCATAGTGAATTTTCCAAAACAGTTGACTTCTTTTTCCCAAGTGAGAAGGCTAACTAATTGCTAATACTAGTTTTGGAAATCTGGCACAAAAACCACAGCTATTTGACTGTCTAATAATAAAACAGAGACAATATAAAATATATTTTCTAATTGTTTATTATACTTTTCAACTTCAGAACATAAATTTCACAAAAAAAACTCACCACAGTAAGCCTGTAGTATATAATCCAGCATGAATCATTTAGATCAGTGTTTCTCAACCTTGACACTTTAAATCTTGTGAATGTCAACTTCCAGAATACCCCAGTCAGCTATGCTATGAATTCTGGGAGTTGAAGTCCACAGGTATTAAAGGTTGAGAAACACCGATTTAGATAACTAGAGCTAGCTCTTAAAAATAAAACGAATATTAAAACTAGTGTCAGAGCCACTAGCTAGACCAGAGCAGGAAATCAATTCCACAAGAAGGCTAAAAGTACTTTTAGTGAGATTGGCTATAATAATCGAATCTTGCAAATCTGATCGTGCTGTACCTTCTCTTCTTCTTTATCTTCTAATAAGTTAGGGAGGCTTCTATCTGAGAGGCTTCTGAATCTTATTTGGCTGTTGTGGACTTTTAAAAAGTTTCAGCTCTTTCTGCCTATGTACCCTTTTCACAAATCTCAGGCAAAGTCATTTCTTTATAGCCAGTCAACAGAAGCTCATTATTGCTTGATAAATTAAATCAAAGAAGCAATTGCCCCAAATAAACATGAGGCATATGTCCTTAATAGATCAATGACACAAAACCACTTTGCTTAGCAACCATAATTAAACCTGAAACTATGATCACTTAACAGCCACCATCACTAAGTGGAAAATCATGTGTTTGTGATTGGCTTAAGGTCTTCCCATTTGTAAACCACCATGGTCATTAAGCAAAATATCACATGACTTCCTCCTTATCTAGTAACTCTTTTGTTGTAAACCAGTTGCAAAGAGCCCAAGTGACAGTCACATAGCTATGGGACGCAGCAATGCTCATAAATGTGAGGAATGGTCACTAAGCAATTTTTTTCATCAATGTCACTTTGAACATTTGCTAAATAAGGCAGTCAGTGAATGAGGGCTACCTGTACTTTTTCCCCATCTTATGTTCCAATGAAATCAGGGAAGAACCTGCCTAAATTATTTTGAATACTGCCTTGCTTCCCAGAACTTGAGGAAAGTTTCAGCCCTCTTTGTTTATACAATGGTTCTTGCCCATTTCCTTCAAGGTCATCATTAGGTCAGTATATTTTAGAGAAGCTATAATAAGGTGAAATAAAAACCTCTTTGTTTGCCAGCTTTTGTACAGACACAGTTTTTTTAAAAAAATGTAAGCATACTTCTTAAGGACAATTGAGAGTAATATTTGAAGGATTTATATCAATGGTCTGCATGCCAAATCACAATAACTCTTCAATATATTCCATCAGTTCTGCACCAAAGCCTGAATCTCTTGTCTGACTATCTCTTTTAAGAGCAGGATACAAAACTTCAGGAATTTTGAGTTTAATATTGGATTAATTTGAACCAATCACAATATTTCAGTCACATCTCTATTTACAGTATGACAATAAAATAATGAAAGAAAGGCTATTCCCACAATTCTGATTTTTTTGAGAAAAAACATTGTGATAAAAATATAATACATAAATTGTAGAAACAGACTATGAAATATAGACATGTACAACACTAAGTTCAGAAACAAATGGCAAATTTTCTTGTGTCAAGAAGCAAGCAGAAGAAGAAGAAAAAAGAAATCAAACTTCACAAGATGATCTATTATTGTTCAACAAACCAGCTAGTTTATTTGTACAAATCAGATGCCATATTAGCATGTCTCCAAATCAAGATATAGTCAAGTGCTCTGAATTCACTAAAGGAAATTTCAGGTACTATTGGATTAAGGATGAAGCAAGATGAAAGTAAATAACTTATCCAAAATTGTATCTATACCAAGACCATTCCTGGTACACAAACTTAATATTGTGAATTTCTCAATTCACAGTTATATTTTACAATTAGATCAAAAAAGTATTATAACAGAGTAGTTAAGAAAGGTGTGTGTGCATGTGTGTGTGTGTTTTCTCCAATACATACGTTATAAGTAATTTGGAGCTTGCTGAATATTCCCTTCCCCTGGAGAAATGGTATTGAGAGATTATAAATAATTGGATATAATTTATAACATAAAAACAATCTATCCTGAAAAGCTTACAACTGCGCTCTACACTCTAATTGTAAGCAAGGTCTCCTATATCAATAAAATGTATTATTCTAATTATAAAATGTTTTCACTGAATTGGTAAGGCCATTTATAAAATATAATTATTAAAATTTGGATAATATATACTTTATCAATTTTTTTCTGTTTGCAATACAACCTAATTTTTTTCGCTTTCTTCCACCTTTGTCCCCAGTCCCAAATATAGCTCTCTGCTAATGATGCAGATATCTCATGGATAGCAAACTGAATCAGGCCTATGAAGCTTGTGAGGTCACTCATTGTGCTTGAGGAAACTCGCGTTGTGCTGTTGTGACCATGTGGTCTTTTGAATGTGATATCTCAATTTCCATTAGAAATCTTTGTCATAGGAACATGTGACTAGAATTCATGATTCCTCCTTTACTTTTGGGGACACAGTCCACAGATATTATTGTACGAATAATAGAACTCCAGTTTCCACACAAGGTATAAAAATCCATCTCTTAATAGAAGGCGAAAGGATGTATGACTCTTCCAACTACTCTTTTCTACCCTGATGCTAAATGATCAGCCATTACTTTGTATGGGGAGAATAGGGTTACTTACATTAACTTCGGTTATAGCAATATCAACGACGCTACCAACAACAATTAAGGCATCAAAAGTGTTCCATGCATCAGTGAAATAGTGCTGTTAGGACAAGCATTCAGTAGCACGAGAAAACAGAAACAGAAAAGAAAGAGAAGAAAAGGACAGTGTTATAACACAGAAACACAATGTACCAGTACTGCATCTTTCCATCTCAAATCTGAGAAAACGGGAAGCAAACTATGAATTATGTCTGTCCTGCATTTGGAGTTAAGAAAATATCCAAAGTTCTGTGACTTGTCCAAATAACACAATAAAAGGGGGAAGGGAAAACAGAGATAAAGAAAGACCGGGGGGAAGGAGAAAGAGAGAGAAAAAAACAGCACAGTGGGATTGCGGGTGTTTGCTGGGAAATACTCACATCGGCTTCACTGAGAACGATGTCTACTATGCTGCCAAGAACGACGAGGGAGTCAAACGAGTTCCAGGCATCACTAAAATAGCCCTGAACAGAGCAGGCAGGGTGCAAATGTTTGTAATTACATATAAAATGTCAGAATATTTGCATACTTCTGTTTAACTTTTTCATAAACAGAAATTACATTAAACAAAAAATTTGTGGCCTCATGAGAAGAGAATAAACAATATTGCCTACTGAAGGAAAGGCTTATATGTGACATGACACCACTGCCATATGCCGACAGAGTTCTGCAGCAGATGGTTTATGTTGTAAATATGGACATAGGGTACTGGCAGTATGAGCAAAGAATATCTGCGCTCCACACTGTTCCAAGGACAATTCAGAGGAGAATATTAAAATCTAAATATGATTTCATGCTTCTATTTGGTTTACTTCTGCAAATTAATATGTTGCAACACCAAACATAAAGAAGTGTCCCTTAACCTGTTTGTAGAGTTATGTTTTAAGCAGAATCACTCCAAATCTCACCATGTAGATAGGAAAACAAGAAAATGGTTTACACAGTGCCAGACTATTTCCCATCAGAGTGTATTTTTTTAAAAACTTTGGCTGTGTTCACATAGCATGCTTAACTCATCAATGAAAGGGTTAATGGTTAGTATGTTGTGAGAACACCTATGCTCAGCCATAAGATAGAAAGGGGTAGTTTTAACATAAAATACAGCCAGAATAGTTGGAGTTTGCCAACAGTTTCAAAGACAATTTTTTGGTAGGTGAGCTTCCTACAAAGATGGCTGCATTTTGGGTAGAAATGGTTTAAGTCAGTTATGTGATATGAACTAATACCTTGACTAATAGTTTTGAAAGGTTTCAAAACAATGGTGGGATTCAAAAAGTTTTACCACCAGTTCAGTTGGCGTGGTTTGGTGCATGTGTGCACGAAACGTGCACTTTGCGCAGGTACAGAGGCATTGTGCAGGCGCAGAGGCGTTCCAACTTACCTCCTGCAAGCCTGCACTCTCCCGGTTGCTTCAGCAGCTGCCATGCAGAATTCTGCTGTGCCGCACAAAGCAGCTGCGCTTCAAAAGCAGAGGATAAAGGTGAGTATGGGAGCCCAGACGGGCAGGTGAGTCCAACAGCAGAACCAGCAGAGAGAACCAGTTCAGTCTCCGCTGCTCATCGCTGCTACCGGCTCAGCAGAACCGGGCTGAACCAGTAGAATACCACCACTGTTTCAAAAGGAAAATTCTCCAGATCTATTCAAAAGGGCTAAGGATTAAACCACAGATCTTCTGCCTAAAAGCAAGTATTCTAGCACTAAACTATGATCCTTCTGATGTTGTGTATGATTAATAATGCCCAAAATGAATTAAAAATTGAACAAAGTCAGTTTGACATACAATATAAGAAATTTTAAGAATAACTGTGATACTAATGGGCAACCCACAGATCCAGTGGCTGTTTTAATCAGTTAATATGACTCTTTTTAAAAATAAAATTCTCTCTCCAATTCCAACATGCAGTTAGTGCTCTTTGAGTCCTGAACATAGGAAATAAATAAAAAATAAGCCAGCAGAACTGATATTTCCAAATAAGAAATGAATCAGTTCTTTGCTGTCTCAATAACAGGTGCTTCATGACTATTGTTTGATCAGCACATTTCAGGAGAAAAGCCAGATAGATGTAAACAAAGTTGGATCATGAGAAGGTTGCAGTCACAAATGAGGAGTACCTCAGGCAAAGTATGGGCACTCCAAAATGTTTGCCAATCCTTAACCAGAGAATGCATGAATGAGCCCCTGTCTTACTAAGTCACTATAAGATTATTGGAATTTTAAATTGCATGTCACATATTAAACACTTTAAGTACACCTTTCCCATGCTCAATATTGTTTTCAGCAATGTGTAGGGGCAAAGCAAGCAAATACAAATAAGAACACAACTGAAAGAAATTGAGATGATTCCGGAAAAAGGAAAAAATGCAATATATGGACAAGTCACAGCAAATAAACTCACACATCTCATAACCTTCATCATTGTAATAACCGAAGATGAAATTACTTACTAGGTATCTTTTCTTTTTTGGCACACAAATCTGATATAAAATGGCAAGGGAAAATAATTCCATATTTGGTTACAGAATGCTTGGTTTTCATGACATCATGAACTTTGCAAATTTATGGTATTCAGTTTTTTTTTAATTGGAAAACAAGTAGTGGGATGGCTTGTAGCATAAAGCATGATATTGTCCCCCACTCCCTCATTGGTAAGTTGCAGGGCTAAACCCCCCTAGACTTCTGTGAACTGAGTATGCCCATCTGGAAAAGAATTCCTAAGTTAAAGCAGCTACTGACAAAGTTGAGATTCTTGGCTCAACAGACATTCTGATTCCAAAGGTGGCCTTATATGGAAGAGACTGTCTTCTAATGGAGGTTCATCTCCATTCAGCTTGTTGATATTGGAGGACCAGATTTTCATCAGTTTTGAGAGATGACATGGTTTCCTAGTCATCTCCTAGTTCAAAGTATAATTGACTACATGATGAATAATTGACATGATTTATGCATCTACAAAGCCTGGGATTAGATTGGATCCATAATCAAAATAAAAATCTGATAATGGCTTATATCCAAATTGTTATATGAATAACAACTGAGAACTACTGATTTAATAAGTCATATTAAATTTCTGGAGTTCTTTGCTTTTTTGTAAACTGTTCATAAGCTAACAGTGCTTCCAAATGTGTCAGCGCCCACCTACAAACATATGCCTGTTCTATTTGCCCAAATTATATATTAAAAATCTCTAAAATATTTGTGGGATAGGACACTATTTTGTGTTATACTACTACAATGGTTAGACATGCCTTGACATTGACATTCAATATGTTTGGGAGTGTAATATATGTTCAGAATTATCAGAAAAAAGTGGATTTATAACATTAATATATTACTTATTTATATATTATCAGCAACACATTTTTTTAAAAAACGTTTCTTCATTTTATTTCCTGCAGTTGCATAAACACTGTTATCAGATTTAAGATTTCTGGTGAAGATACTGTTTTTCTCATGATTAACCATGAAAAACTCACATTTACCTACTTATGTGTGCTGATCTAAGCAAAAAATACTTGTAAATTAAAAAGAAGCAACTAAAACAGAGATGCTAATTAAACCCTACATAATCTCTTACCTTCGGTTTAAATGCAATGAGTTTCAAAACCATTTCAACAGTAAACACTGCAGTAAACACCATATTCAGAATATCCATTGCATCATTAAAAAGTTTAGACTGTCCATAGTGCTATGAATAAAACAAATGAGAAAAATATTAATATAACTAAATATTTTTTCAGGCAATCAAAATAAACACATCTCTAACACTCTAACACAAATCTTATACTAAAAAGATTAATATGTTATTCTATGTTGTTAATATTTCACAAGGACAAGTTTGGAAAGTGCAGCAGAAAGGCTAAAAACCAGGAGATAGTGAGTTGCAGTCCTTCCTTAGGCACATTAGCCAGCTGTGTTACTTTGGACCAGTTATTCTCTCTCAGCCCAATCCACCTCACAGGGTTGTTGTTGTAGGGAAAATAGGAGGAGGTAAGTGTATTAGCTATGTTTGCCACCTTGAATTATTTATAAAAATAATTAAAGTGGGATTAAATATAAATAAATAATTAAAAACAAACATATGCTAGTCTCTTATTGCCCAGCTACAAATAGCATTCATTTGTTGGCGCTTTCTAAATTTACTATGAAATTTATTATGATACTGATATCAAAAAAAAAAATATTGCTCGCTATAACAAGACATTATTTCTCCCAATATTAGGAAATAATTGGTCTCAACATTTATTAAGTCACCCTTATCTTTATCTTAAAATATCATTTTTTTCCTAAATCCAATTGTTCTTTACCTCCAGCTCCTTTAAGAAAATCAATCACTACTGGTATTAACTATGATAATCCAATTAAGTTTGCTCTTAAGCAAGATTTGTAAGCAATTCTCGAAAGCTAGTTAATAGTAAATCATGATTTCTTTTAATCAAATCATGTTATTTGTTAAAGAAACCACAATGCCTAGATTTACATCTCAATTGTTTAAAAATCATAATGACTACCTTTGCAAAAAAGCACCAAACAAAAAAACTAAATGAATAACATCATGACTTGGCATAGCATGTAAATTCAGGTAAAACCAGTAAAAAGGAACTGACTAGCTTTGACCAGAATTAAACTGAAAGCTGGCAATTCAACAATTGGCTGAATTCATATATTGTGCTAAAATGCAATTTCTTTTTATTTTGGCTTGCAGAATAAGCCGGTGTGGCTTGATCCATAAGCAATGGTTCACAAACCACAGTGGGTGGGTTCATTGATGCCCGTAGCAAGCCAAGATGAGACAAAATTGCTAAAGTGTGCATTTTGACATCACAATGTAAGCACTACCTTTTCATACTACAGTAAGATTGTAGACAAGTGCAAGTAGTCTTTGACTTACAATCAGTATTGTGCCCAACATTTCTGTTGCTAAGTGAGACAGCTGCTAAGTGAGTTTTGCCCCATTTTATGACCTTTCTTGCCACAGTTGTTTAGTTAGTAACATACTTGTTAAGCAAATTTGGCTTCCCTACTTGTCAGAAGGTTGTAAAAGGGGATCATGTGAGCCCAGGACACTGTTGCTGTCATGAGTCAACTAGCCAAGTGTCTGAATTTTGATCATGTGACCATGGAGATGCTGTAATGGTCATGTGTGAAAATGGCCATAAGTCACCTTTTCAGTGGTGTTATAACATTGAGCAGTCACTAAATGAAATATTGTAAGTCGAGGATTACTGGTATACAAAAGTATGGATTTGGGATTATGTCACTGTGATATTCGTTTCAGTGCTCTGTCCCCTTGTTCACTGATAGATAAGTTCACAGAACACTAACACTAAAGCAAATATGATGGCTTAATAACATATGAACCCGGACAGAGAATCTCACTGTAATGGTTAAGCATTTTTTCAAGGACTGGTTGAAGGGAAAAAGCACACAACTAAATGCCTGCTTCAAATACAAGGATTAAATATATACAACTACTGTTACATAGGGAAATTTAGAAAGTCCTCATTACTCAGGCTTGTAATTTTGTTACCATATTTTTTGTGAAAATAGCTTCAGTTAAAGGTCCAATCCTGAATTCTAGTGAATGAAAGCAAGAAAGTTTTATTGGAAGTATTTTTGTTTTTTAAATCCCTTATAGAACAGACTTTTTGAACAATTATAGGGAGACCTGGAGAATTTGATGACAATTATAAATGTGGCCAAAAGTATTGGTGCTTCTCCCTTTTTCCAATTTGCTGTGAAACAAGTTGAAGCTGATGCAAGTAAATGATATACACCTCTTTTTATTCCACAGTCCGTGGCTGTGCTTTTGATGAATGACTTAAAATATTCTTGTAGCAATAGCAATAGCACTTAGACTTATATATCGCTCCCTTACAGCTCTCTCTAAGCAGTTTTACAGTGTCAGCATATTGTCCCCAACAAACTGGATCCTCATTTTAATGATCTCGGAAGGGTGGAAAGCTGAGTCAACCTTGGGCCAGTGAGAATCAAACTGCCGAACTGTTGGCAGCTAGCAGTCAGCAGAAGTAGCCTGCAGTACTGCATTCTAACCACTGCACCACCACAGCTCTTGTAAATAATAAACTAGAATTAAAAATAATTTTCTTAAGATTTTAATAAAAAAATAATAGTTCCAAAACTACAGATGAAATCCACTGTTGCATGTGAGGGTACTTTCTGATCCTTTTGTCTGTGCCATCTTGCAGGCATTCCTAAATCTGTAGGAAATGCTAACCACGTGCAGGATAATTCTAAATAAACAGGTATAGAGGATGATTCTAAATAAAGTGAGAAAAACAAACTAATTGTAAAATAAAATGGCCATACCCAATTTCCTTAGGTAAAGTGGCACCTTGTTTCATTCCTACCTGCATAGCCAAGCAAAGGGTGTTGAGCATGATGAGGACAAACATGATATATTCAAAGACAGTAGAGTTCACCATATACCAGAATTTGTACTGGTAAGGATTTTTTGGAATGTATCGACGCAGCGGCCGGGCTTTCAAAGCATATTCTACACACTGACGCTGAAAATAGTAAAAATACCAACATCATAAACAGGAATCTTAGTCCAGAACTATCTGTCTGTGATTCAAGCTTTTATTTCAGAAACAAATCCATTAGAGTTCCATTGTAAAACAGTTCCATTGTATCAATGGTTACATCCCATAGGCAGAGCCGGAAGGAAAGATCTACTCCAAATATATAGTAGAACTAGATTGTGGTCACAATGTACCCTAATTGTTAAATTCAATGCTTAAAACTAGCTCTTGGATCTGTAGCTCAAAATTTGCTTCGTAATGGCAAGGAAGGAAACATCAGAATTCTGAAAATCATTACGTATTAAATTATAATATTAAAATAGATTATTAGATTTTAATATTAAAATAAAATAGCTTTATTACCTGATTTTTATCAAGTTCACAGTTTTTGTATTCTTGTTCTCCCTGTTCTTGGAATGTGACAATGACGAAGCCAACAAATATGTTCATCATGAAGAAAGCAATAATAATGATATAGATGATGAAAAAAATAGAGATTTCCACTCTGTAATTGTAGATCGGTCCTACATTCTCTCCATTTGAATCTATAGCTTTATAAAGAAGCCTGCATATTAAAGACAAATGAACAATGGATTCTATCATCATGAAAAAAAGCAATTTCTAATTCTGATTTAAATTTTCAAAGGTATCTTTTGAAAGGAAGGCCCTTTTCTGGTCAAGGGGCAAGAGGGCAAGAGGCCCCTCACTAAAGGTCCCCTTGTACGATTCAAAGCATATTATTTGCAAGGTAAACTGTCATCCTGGTGGTAGTATCAACAATGGAAATGTGAAGGACTAGTAAATATTGTAATAATATTTACAGTCTGTTTAAAATGTAGAAGATGTTCACATCCCCTGCTCCATTAGCTCTGTAACGTATTGTACTTTTAAAATGGTACATGTTCATTACATCATTATTTCTAAAAGTCCCAGTCATAGTCTTCCCCAAAAGAAAAGTCCAGTCAAAACAAAACAAAACAAAGCAAACTCTTTTGTAAATGATACACTTACGCAGGCCAGCCCTCAAAAGTAGAAACAGTAAAAAGAGCCATCATAGCAGTAAGGACATTATCAAAGTTGAAATCGCTGTTCTGCCATTGTCTCTCTCTCACCATTGGACTGTCCATATCTCCATCTTTATAAACAATAAATATTCCCCTATTGATATGAATTGAAAAAAAAAATCAAATAGTTACTATTGACAATTATTTTAAAATTTCTTTCTATGTTTCTTGAAGGGCACATACAGCAATCCTTTGCATGTTTTAGTAACCCTAATTAACAATGGGGAATCTTATAGCTCACTGAAATATTTCTACCTTTGTTGGTATTTCTATTGTATTTCTATGACTAGCACTGATGATGTTATCTAGTTTGGGTAATGAAATGTCTGCAAGAAAACAAGAAAGCTCAGAGAGCAGCGAGGACCCCCTCATTTCAACCTTGAGTTACAAACATTCTCCTTTCTTGGTATTGTATTTACAGTCCAGTTTTCTTCCAAAAACACACTTGGATATCTCTCCTGATTTTATCAACAAGTGTCTGGAGTAGACCATAGAATTACAGGGCTGGAAGGGAGTGATACAACTCTGGTGACAAGCTTTTCCATTGACTGTTCTTACTGTAAGAAAATTTCTCTTTATTTCTAGGTTGGATGTCTCTTTAATAAGCTTTCACCCAGTACTTCTTGTCCTGTTTGCTGATGCTTTGGAGAATGACGCAATCCCCCTTTTTTGTGATAGCCCCTGAAATATTGGAAGACTGTTATCATGTCCCTCCTAATCCTTCTCTTTGATAGGCTGAACTCTTTCAACTGTTCATCATATAATTTAGCCTCCAGACCGTTTACATCTTTGTTGCTCTTTTCTGCACATAGTCCAAGACCTTTTTGTATCATGGTGACCAGAAATGTATACAGTAGTACAAGTGTGGACTTACTAAAGAAGTATAAAGCAGTATTATCACTTCCTGTGATCTTGCTTCTATCCTCTACTGATGCAGCCCAGGACTGCATTGGCTGTTTTGGCGGTTGCAGCTCAAGTAGTGGTCCATTAGGACACCTAGATCTCACAGTTACTACTATTGAACCAGGAACCACCTATTATGTACCTATGCATTTGGTTTTTCTTGCCTGAATGCAGGATATTTCTCATCAATGAACTATATCTTGTTGGATAGGGCACAATGCACAAGTCTATCAAGATCTTTTTGAATCTAGAATCTATCTTCCAATAGTTAGATTCAGTCCAGCTTGTTATCTGCAAATCTGATGACTTCCCCTTCTATCCCCTCATCTAGATCATTTATGAAGATGTTGAAGAATACTGGGCTCAAGAAGAGAACCTTGGGATACTGCACTGTATGTACATGTAATTCCATTGGAGGCATTCAGTTACCTCTGGGGTCTACCAGGTACTTGAAGCTTTATATTCCATCCAAAGTCTGAACCTTAGAAACTATATTACTTCTCAGCAACATTTGGAGACCCAAAAGCTTCCCATTTTTTTGTTATTCTAAAAAATGCAGATAGGAAAGTATTCTTACTGGCAGTCCACAGGATTTTGCTTTGCTTCATCTGTACATCGATAGAATTTTCCCTGTGTATAAAAAAAGCATAGCAATAGAATCTAAAGTAACATTCCTATTTCAAAAATGTTGAAGTATCTCCACAGAACTTCACCAAGCCTGATGAGGAATGATTTACAAGACCAATTTTTATCTATTATTTGGTTTTACTAAGCTCTGGATTTTTTTATCCCTTGTTCTTACCTTAAAGAGCTGGACACCAATACATGCAAACATGAACTGGAGTAGAGTTGTAACGATCATTATATTACCGATAGTTCGAATGGCAACAAAGACACATTGAACAACATGCTGTAGAGAAAGAAAGAAAGAAAGAAAGAAAGAAAGAAAGAGAGAGAGAGAGAGAGAGAGAGAGAGAGAGAAAGAAAGAAAGAAAGAAAGAAAGAAAGAAAGAAAGAAAGAAAGAAAGAAAGAAAGAAAGAAAGAAAGAAAGAAAGAAAGAAAGAAAGAAAATCAGTTCAATTTTCATTTGGTATGTGATCACTATGGTTAATAAAGTAGTACTTCATTTTTAAGATATCAATAAAAGGTTTCATCTGATATTTTAAATTATATCTTACTATTTCTATACTCAGAATGGGGACACAATAGAAAAAAGACATCTTACATTCCACAAATTCATTCTCACTATTAAGCAATCATAAATAGCATATAACAAAGCTAATCATGAAATATTAAATATATCTAAAACAAACTCTATTGAACTTGAACTCAACAAGGCTTATTTATTCCCAAGGAATATGATTAGGACCTCAAACTTTCATTTCCAGAAGATAGGAAAGAAAGCTTCATTCCTAGGTAGTCTCAACATGTCTTTTAGATAAGCTAAGATCATGAATTAAAGATCAAGAAACAGGATGAGGTAATGGGTGTACAATCAAACCACTATTGGAATTCAGAAATGAGAGTTACAAAGCAATCTAGATGAAAGAGAAAATACAGGAATACACCCCAAAGCCTATTGGTTAAACATATTTGGAAAAAAGAACAAGGCATCATTAAAACCAATTGAGAAATATGAAGCTCAAAATGATACAGAGAGAACATGATCTAAAAGTCCTCAAAACATTCTTAAGGTAATCTCTGTTGAGGCAATTGACATATTAGACTATTATTATAGGTTTATTTATAAACAGAACATTCAAAGAAAATTCAGATGGAAACCTTAAGTCCTTTTGCTCTGTTAATAGCCCGTAATGGTCTTAAGACTCTTAAAACTCTCAGAATCTTCACAACTGATATAGCACTTGATCTAGATGAAAAGTACAACAAATAATACATTAGTTTGACATGACTTAATGCTACTCAATTAATATGATAAAGTTAAGTAATACTCATGCATATAGCAGTCCTTTAATTCTAAAATTATTTGTTTCCAGGAAAAAATACTGATAGGGTTCCCCCCCGCCCCCCGTTGTTTTACAGCTCTTTGATGCAAAAGAATCTCTTGGAATGGATAACACCTTAATAAACCATTCCTTAATGCTTAATTCCTAAATAAAATGAATAAAATAAGGCATAGGCAGCATACAGTTGGTCCCATCCAGTTTTTAATAGCTGCACAATTTGTTTTTTCTTCCAAACTTAAAAAAACACCAAAATTTTCCCCCATTTTTGCTATTTACTGTATTTAGGTAATATATATAGAAAATAATAAAAATATTTGCATTTTTATCTCTTAGTCTAGATGACTTACAATAATAATAAAAAAACACAACAATACAGGTAGTCCTTGACTTAACAACCACAATGGTGTACAAAATTTCTACTGTTAAGTGAGACAATTGTTAAATGAAATTTGCCCAATTTCATGACCTTTCTTGCCAAAGTTGTTAAGTGAATCACTGCAGCTGGTAATAATATGGTTTTTAACTGAATCTGGCTTCTCACTGACTTTGCTTGTCAGAAGGTCGCAAAAGGTGCTTGCATGACCCTGGGACACTGCATCCATGATAAACAATAACCAGCTGCCAAGCATCTGAATTTTGATCACATGGCCACAGCATTGCAAGTATGAAAAACAGCCATAAGTGTTTTGAATAATCACTAAACCAATTGTTGTAAGTTGAGGACTACCTGTATTAATCCCTTTTTGGTCTGTTCTTTTACAGTTGTAATCATCCCTTCTATTAGTCTCTCCTGTTTGTCTCTCTCAAAGGAGTTCTACAATAAAACTTTAATTAAAATGTTAATAATAAAATAAGTATAACCCCTAAATGACAACACTTTGTGAAATATAATACAGGCAATATATCCAGTATAATTGAATATATGTGATCCGCTATAGAAAACCTGGTTGAACCAGCCTAAGCATCACATGCTAACATGGGATGGTGATAGAAAATACACAGAAGCTTAGTTAATCCCATCCTTACTTTCAAAATACTACAAACATATTTGCATTAGAATTGAGAATTGGGTGCCCTTGTGGCATCCCAGCCAAAATCTGTCCTACTGATCAGTTCTACCCATAACAATACAAAGGAATGCTGTGATGTCTATGTTTTCTCTGTCTTATTAAAAAAATATTATTGGAAACTCTGGCTTAACCAAATCCATCCTGGGTGGTGGAAATTAGGATCTAGTATCAATAGGCCCATGAACTAATGACCATACCAAAGACAATATTATAATTTGAAATATCAAATGGGGAAATAGTAAAGAACATGAATTAATGAATGACATGAAAGAAGAATATGTGGTCTGCTTGTGACATTAAGAATAGGGAATCATGTAACAGGATTTAATGCAAGTGATGGATACATGCATGAAATTGAAGATATAGGTTTGATTATAGAAAGTAGGCTAAAATATTGGTCAGAAAAACTGGATTCATCTAGATTGTAATAATTTGTAAGTTATTGAAATAGAATTCTAGGTATTGCAAAATACCTATTACTTCTTCTTCTCAAAATACAAAGAAAGGGAAGCCATCAAGGTTGATATAGGATGCTAAGCCCACAAGATATGACCATTTCCATATGACGGAGAAATAGTACTGTTTATATTCAAGTCATAAATGAATACAGTAAAAAACAAAATGAGTAATACTTACTGAATGCCAAATGACACAAGGGAAACACCTACTACCAACAAATCTAGCAAGTTAAAATAATTCCGGCAGAAAGACCCTTTATGAAGGAAGGCTCCAAACACGGTCAGCTGAAAACATAACAGTTACAGTTTGAATCATTTTACAAGATTACTGCAGATGATGTATACTACTTTCTATATTATTCAGAAAAAAGGGCTCTCTCTGTTAAGATTAGAAATCTTGATCTAATACTACATCACAGCATTTTCACTCAAACTTTACTCAATTACTCAATAAAATTAAATACTAATGTCTTAAAAACAACCATAGGTTCGCTATCAACAGCTTTCATGCTTACATAATGCACCTGCTAAGCATTTTAGTGTTAGGTTTATATATCGAACGGGTTTCTTAGAATACGGTAACACAACTTGTATTTCACCCCAGAAAAAGCTATAGTTTTAAACTATATTATATTGTAACTATGATAATCTTAATAGAAGAGAAAACTGAAAATGTATCATGAATAATCATATCATAGCTATTTTTTTTCTTTTGGTCCTATCCATGTTTTTTGCAGAGATATTCCCCAAAGGCCAACTGTAGCCTCAAAGGCCAACTGCAAAAAGGAGATATTCCTCAAAGGCCAACTGCAAAAAGGTTATACACTTCTGTAGTAAAATATGGAAAAACACTGTTATACCTTGGAAGAATATAGTGATATATGTTCTTGCAAAGCATAATCATGCTTTGGAAGAACATAGTGATATACTCCTTTAGCTCTATGTAAATCTATTTCACAAAAAGTATTGAAAAATAGCATGTTCCTCCTCTGAAAATTTAAGTTTTTTTATGATCTTTCTTTTTTTAAAAAAAAAGAGAGAAAAGGAAGGAGGGAAATCCATCACAGAATGAGATGTTTTCCTTCTTCTGCCAGATTTTAAAAACAAAAGGGTTAAAATAAACTGCCAAATTGATGTGATGATAAAAAGGAACTTCTACATGCACCAAAGGTTTGAAAAGTATATTAAAACATTAGTAAAAAGTATCCTACCTGCATAAGTATATGGAAGGTAAACAAAAAGTAACAGACTTTATTGCTAAAGCTGTGTTTGAGTTAACAAGGATCAATGAACAATTTAAATACCTTTAAAAGGATTTCCACAGTAAAGATGGCTGTGAAAGCATAGTCAAAGTAACCAAGTATCTGCAAAGCATAACATGCCACAGTGAGACATTTAATTACAAGTGCTCATGTTAGAATTTACAATTTTGGATATATATTCCTATATACAACTTTCAAGTCTACTATATGCCTGGGATTTCCTTATGGTGTCTAAGTTAGTGTCCAACTTCCAAATGCTATTCAAAATCAAGCCTACTTAACTTGTTTTTAAAGATCAGTCACATTCACACACACACAACATGAAGAAAACTACTTTTACTTCCTAGGATCAAAATGTATGCAACTACCGTAGATATCTTCATGATTACTTGTAATAAAATTATATAATTTTACATGGATGGAATTATTTTCATTTTTTCAATGCTGAGGATGCTTTCCCTTCTTGGTATGCATATCTAGTATTGCTATGGTGACTTTTTTAAAGAAAGATCTTATCATTTGTGACCATGCTTAAAGTGAAAGTGGGTAATTGTAGTGATATTGTGACATTGCCAAATAATTATTAAATGATTTTAAGAAACTGGAGAAATAAGCAGTTACTACTTAAATCTCCCTTGAGTTGAATTCAAATCTGTTGAATACATAGATACATCCATTTTATTTTCCAGGCAGATATAGTTTGTCATGATATTTCGTAAGTTCCTAGCCTAGTACATACAGTCCAAGAACTAATGAGGTTGACTCTATTTTCAATATTCCATAATTGCTTATTCTACAAATATAGAAAAGATAAACTTTATCCATGTAAATTTCTTGCTTCTGCCTTTAGGTAGAAACAATCATTGAAACAATACAGTGTCAACTTGGAAATGAATTGGTCCTGTCGCAGCCATTTTCTCAGTTTCTCAGCTTGACACACTTTTTTGGGGGGGGGGGGGGGGGATCTTGGAATGTCAGACCAGACATCAACAACTTACTGTCTTGTGGGAACCAAGGTTGTCCCAACAGGTGCTGGCCAGAGACTGCAAGGGGTTACCAAGGAGATGCCAGAACACTTAATTGGACAATGTGACTTGTGACAAGGAGGGAGGGACCCATCTATTCTTTAATTATACTGAAAGCATGGGGATTAGCCAGGGCTGGTTTTGTTTGTCAACTGTGCAGAAGTGATGTACTCAATAAAGCTGTTAGCTTCTTTGAGAAGCTAAAAGTCTCAAGAGTTGCTGGATTGGTTGGATTCGTTATTCAGAATCTTGAGATACAGTCTCAGTAAATCAAAATGTAATTTGAAACACACACACACACACACACACACACACCAAGAAGGCACAGCTAATTCACAAATTATAGACGGGCTACATATTGGATTATATATGCCATCATACCATGGGAGACGGAAATAATATTAATTTAAATAATGTAAACCTACATTTCTAGAAATTTCAACTTCTTGAAAACAATAACCAGAGCTGGTCCTGCATAACTCACAGGATCAACTAAGTTCAGCTAGATGGTGCCATCTCCTGAGATGTTCATGGACTAGTCTACTTTGAAAGACACAATTATAAAGATCATACGTACAGATAGTTTGTAAAATCTAATTTTTCTTACATTATTTCGAAAAGAATGACTGCGAATAGGGTCTTCAGCTGCAAGGGAAGCACTGCTGAGCATGATGAAGACAAGAATGAGGTTGGTAAAAATATGGTGATTGATTAATCTATGACAACCCACTCGAATCCTGAAAAACAAGAAAAGAAAATGGAATATTATGTTACGACCAACAGGTTAATTACTCATAAATTATAAACAAAGGCAAAAAGTGCTCATCTGAATATCACTAAAATGGAAATCAGTTACTTTATTAACTGTGTTGATAATTCAGCAAAACTTAAAATGCATTAGAATACTGCATATATTCTATTGAAAAGCTATTATATGTTGGATAGTACAGTATTAAAACACAATTTGCAACATTCTCCATTTAAAGTATTCTTGTTAGACAACGTATCATTTGGCATGTTTAAAACACAAATGTTTCACAATACTGGTAGGAGTTTGATTTGAAAACAAAGGAGTTTGATTTGAAAACAAATTCCATGTTTAAAAAAATATTTAATTATATGTTCAATCTTGCGCTAGATAAATCAGCAGAAGCTTTAGTTGTCATATGTTCTTATCATTTATTTGGGGAAAAAATAGTTTCAAGGGATATGCTTTAAAAGATTATTTACGGGTTTGTACTGCTGAAAATAAAGAAGGAGCTGCCTTCAGGAATTGGTGTCATCTTCTCCTTCATATTAAGTTCAGATATTCTTCGGGGTCGGGGACCTGCAGGTACTTCAGGCTCTTCTTCTTCCTCCTCTTCTTCCTCTTCACCTACTTTATAGTGAAACTTTATTTATTACAAAGTAAATTAAAACATAATTCTGAGAAAATTCCATACTCAAAATAGCCAGCAAGATCTATAAATTAAATATAAATATTTATAAATATAATAAATATTTATAAATATAATAAATATAAATATTAAATGAAAGAACATTTATGAACTTCTCAACAGTATAATACCATTTACACTGTCATGCTGAAAAAATGTGAAAGCTCTATAGCTTCTCTATAGTTTCTGGCTAACAGCAGTGCTTTTAGGCTACCTGTTTCTTTCTTGTTCTGAGTTTAAAATTAGTTAATTCTTTATTATAGTAACTGAACAGGGTTCAACAGGTTAAGAAAGAAATTAAACAATTTCTATTTCAAGTAAGATGAAAAACAAACATAAAATTCCACCTATATCATCAAAGTCATGAAAACAATGTATAAACAATTTCAGAAAAAATTTCCACATTGGGGTAATTGAGTCATATTGGTCTGACAGGAGTAGCTGTACCTGAAATCAATCAGAACTGATTGGGAACTTCACCAGATATGGTGTTAGGAAACAGTGGTGAATGGAGAAACAGAAGTATAATAGATTCAGTGGGTCCTTTTCCACAAGGGCACAATCTTAGCTCATCAGGAACTTTTTTATTTGCTCTTAAAATAGCTGTTGGGAAGGCACTGAAACATGCTAATATCAGCACTCTTTGAAGTTTAGGGATGGTAATGTATTTAAACATCTTGTTGGGTCTGAATGACAATTTGCCATCTATTCATTGGTAAAACCATTAAGTTGTAAAAAGGTAATAAAATGCCTCCTAATCATTGGTAAATTTTCAGCAGATGCCATTGCCACTCTAGCCCTTATATTATATTTTTCTTCTTTAATTAAAATGTGCCAGAAGTATATTTTAGTTGTTTAGCCTTTTGTTTCTGAATCCAACAAGAGGAAAGGTCTTGCTGTGGGGAAGAAGAAATTATGAGGGTGTTTGTGGCTGTATATTTTTTCATCCAATTTAAAGGTATGCAGAAGACATTAGATTGATTATAAAGATTATGTAAACCAAGGATTATTAGTGTTAGAATATCTTTAGTCCCTTTTTCATTTCCCCAGCCCCCAAAAAGGCTTTTTGAAAAATCAAGGACTCTTCAGAATAGTATGGGACCATAATGGAGAAGGGAAATAATTGCACCGTTCGAATGGACACTGTTTGCATTTCATAGAGTGAAAATGCATAGCCTCAGGATAATATTTATATGTATGTGGGTGTAGATGTGTTTATACATACATTAGATTTACAATTCAAATTACACAATCTTACAATTCAGCACTGTTATATACTTTATGAAAATAGTTTTTTTAATCGTGTTAATGAATTTGGAGTTTTTTGCATCATGGCACATTTGACACAAATCTTTCTGCCAATGTACAGAAGTGAGCTGGTACCTGGGATATCACAAGGTGGATATGGATCTTTGTCTTCTTCTTCTTCTTCTCCATATTCATTGATTGTAACCTCAATAACAGAAAAGTAAACATTTCAAAAAGACGAAAGTAGCAGAGTAAACTGGTATAACTTGTTAATTTCAGCCCATTTCTTCATCTGTTTCTTTCATTTGGAAATGCCCAATGTTACAATTTTTTAAATCAAGAATTCTGGCTGAATAAGTAAATTAATGAAATTAATATTAAGCCAGAACATCTGGCAGAATCCATACTATGTCAAATAGATAATCTAATATCTCTTACCATTAACTCAAACAGCTGGGTTTTTTTTTTCCAAACCAAACCCTTTCACTTAATTATTGTTAAGAGAGATGGCATCTTGTGAATATCTGGCAGACTATTACTATAAAGCTCAGAGGACACCAAAGACTTTGATTACTATAAAGTCAGGATGTAAATGGGAATCAAATCTTCATCTAGATATGCATTAAGAAGAAATTAGGGGCAGCTATTACATATATCCATTCTACTCTCTAGACTTATTACAAGTATTAGCTGGGTATCTGTGTATTCCTGAGTTGAAGATTTCCCTATAAAGGGGAGCAGATCTTAAGTACCTTAGTATCCTTGGCCTTCTTTGGTTCACCCTCTGATTTGTCACCCTTTTTAGCATCCAAACTCTCTTTTCTACAAGGACCATAAAAACAAAACCATGGGGAAATTGATAAAAGATTCAGAGTCATTGTCAATTAATGATTGCAATAAAACTGGAAACATATTATTTACAGCAGAAGTAAAATAGAGACAGAATAAATTTTTTTCTATAACCTTATTTTATTTTGCATTATGTTAAATAATATTGCACAATTTAGGATAGTTTCACCATTATTATTTGCTAGGTGGGTATCCAACAAAACATTCAGAGATGTATTCATAACTTAAATATTATAATGTATAAAATAATGCTTGTTCCTATTTTACTATGTGTATACAGTTTATAATAACAATTATACCATTAATATGTTGCACCAAAAGATATAGAGAGTGAAGGCAAATGCAAAACTTATTGTCATGCACAGATTACCGTATTTATCGGCGTATAACACGCACTTTTTCCCCCTGAAAATAGGGGGCAAATGATGTATGCGTGTTATACGCCGATGTCCAGGGAGCGGAATCCTCTTTAAGGGATCCCGTTCCCAATAGTGCCTAGCGGCGGCGCAGCGTCGTGACGTGATGTCAGTGCTGCGCCCGCCGCATATTTTTTTCCTGAAATTTCCCTCTTAAAGGGAATGCGTGTTATACGCCTGTGCGTGTTATACGCCGATAAATACGGTACATTTTCTTCTTTATTTATTTTATTTATATCCCATCTTTATTATTTTTATAAACAACTCAAGATGGCAAACGTATCTAATATTAATCATCATCTTTTAATGATCCCTTGATCCCTTGTGGGGTGGAGTCTAGGCAACTGAATGGAGCTGAGTGATTACTGGCCAGATGCCTTTCCTGTTGCCAATGTGGAGTTATATTCAACAGATATATTCTCATCATGGTCAGAGAGAGAAATATCTGCCTCTACCTAGGATTGAACAGCCTCCTGATTATGAAGCAAGAGCTCCACCTCTAGGCCATCGCACCACTCAAACCAGGGGTAGGATTCAACCAGTGTTACTACCGGTTCAGTGACATTTTGCGCATGTGTATAAAACAACCTTAAGCTGTGCTATCCAGACAGCTGAAAAGCGCTGCGCGCAGGTGCGCAGCTTTTGAAAAGCCTCTTTTTCCCTGCTTTCTCTGTGCCACTCAAAGCAGCTGAGGTTGAAAAAGCAGGAAATAAAGGACAGGTAAGTGCCCGGGTGGGCAGGTGGGTCAAACAGCAGCAAACACAGAACCAGTTCGGTGTCTACTGCTCTTCAGAGCTACCGGCTCTATAGATCTGGGCAGAACTGGTAGCATCTCATCCCTGACTCAAACATATCTAATACTAATAAAGGAGAATATTTGTAGCTCAGGATTGAAATTACACGGGGTGGGTGGGTTCCCTTGATGTTCCCTGAGCTTGATTGTTTTATGTATTAGGTATTATCATCAGTGCTAGCACCTCTAGCACTGATTATGTTACTTAGTTTGGGTAATGAAATGCCTGAAAGAAAGCAACCAAGCTCAAAAAGCACCAAGGACCTCTTATATCTAATATTTCCTCTTCCTCCTATTTTCCCCAGAACAACCCTGTGAGATGAGTTGGGCTGAGAAAGAGTGGCTGGCCCAAGGTCACCAAACACTGTTCATAGTTAAGGCAGGACTAGACCTCCCACTTTCTAGCCTGGTGCCTTAACTAGACCAAACTGGCTCTTAATACTCTTGATGGGAAAGCATAATGATCCAGGTGATGATCCACCTCTTTCAAACTACATAACAGACTACACCCACCCTGATTCTAAATTGCTGAGCAGCTTCCCCTTTTTGTCCTTAAAATCCTATTCTTCTTCCAGATGGATGGATAAATGGATGCATGGACAGATGAGGCAATCTCTGAACACAAAATTGCAGCAACATTATTTGTAGTTTGTGCCTCATTTTTAAAGCCATTCACACCTTGAAGATTTGCACATATGGATGAATTTTGGTAGAGATTATTTGATAGAAAGAATGGAGCAAGACATTTTCTATGCCTATATGTTTTGCAAATAACATAATAATAATAATAATAAATTCCTTGCATCTACAGGGTACTTTGCCCCAGTTTTCTACCGTACTTATACTATCCAAATCTTCTCTTTCAAAAGAATGAAAAGAGAAAATGAAAACTACAAAAATGTGCATAACTTGTGTGATTTTCTCTGTACCTGGCACTCTTTTTTCTCTCCTTTTCTTCTGCTTCTTCTTTCTGAGCTGTGTTCAGACTTTCAGCATCTGCCAGGTTATCAACCGCAATAGCCAAGAATACATTTAACAGGATATCTAATTGAAATCATTTTAAGGATACTAAATAGTCAATGCAAGTTCTCCCATTGACTTGAAAGTTCCTTGCACAAACCAGAATAAAAGGACATTTCTGTTTTATTTTTATTTATTCCCCTTAGTCAAGTTTTTGGTGACCAATTGTTCATTATTAATTTTCCCATGTTGTTCTTCTGCTGTATTTGTGTTTTGGTCTGTGACCGCAAATAAAGTATCATTATTATTTTTATTTATTATGATAGAAGAGACGTACAAATATAAAACTCTACAAAATTCAGAAAACAGTTGTTGATTTTGATCCCAATTTGTTGTTCTGATACATTCTTTTTTTTCCCCAGTAGCTTTTCTTCCCTGACATAGAAACATCCCATCAAATTCACAAAATACCACTTACGGTGCCTTTTGTTCTTAAGCCTTTTTTCATCTTCTATTTTGAATGATGTCATCAACAACATCCAAATATCAGTTTCTTGCATTTCTTGAACTCTTAATCTATTTACTATACCTTCATACATTTATTCTGAAATTTTTACATTTGTTTTACATTTTTTTCCTATTCGTCTGAATTTACTTATCCTCTGAATGGGCTGAACTGTAGTGTAGCTTTCCAATTTTGAGCCCTGAATAAGCAGAGCAGGGACACTCATGGAGATTAGTACTCAGTGGGATCTAAAAGGATCTTCCTGAGAGCACAGGATTAAACTCAGACTTTACTCCCACAGGTGAGTCCTGGGCAGGGTAAGCTTGGGAACATAAGCTTTGTATGGGGAGGAAATAGGAGCAGTAGAGATAGGCATGTGCTTTGAAGTCCACTAGCAGTTTCAGTAGTATTTCATCTTAATTCATATTACTGCTGTTAAAATTGTTTTAAGTTGTATATTTATTCATTGCTTGAACAAAAGATAGTAATTTACTGCAGAGATTTATCTATCTGATTGCTTGCCAACATATGGCTCAGTGGACTAATTACAATAATACTAGAACATGGCTTTACCTAGACAAGAATATAAAATACATGGTTTTAGCTGCACTGGCAGAAGAATAAAGAACATCCACTGTATTAACTGAATGATTTACTAGAAACAATCAACAATTTATTCCTCTATTGTTGCAAACCCAGTAGAGGTGGAACTAATGAACTGGCCACTTCTTCTCAGTTACGTACTAATGAATTGAGTACCATTACTGTGTGTAAAGCAACGCTGTGAGTAACATCCTATACTTTAGGAACAAAAGGGAAAAAGAGGTGATTTTTCATTCATTTCTGATAATCTCAAAATCCAAAGTATATCTGATGATCTCAGCTGGTGGTGTGTGATTTTTCCTCCATTAAGAAAAATGTGGGTATAAGGGTTCCTTTCCTTTCTGTCCACTGGCCCATGAGGGAGAGTTTTAAGTTTCTCTCCCTCTCCCTACCTAGCTCTCTCTCTCTCTCTAACACAATGTCCTACCTGTCAATGAATACTTCACCTTCAACCATAATAATACAAGAGCACACAATAGATACAAACTCAAGGTAAACCGCACCAAACTTGATTGCAGGAAATACGACTTCAGCAACAGAGTGGTCAATGTCTGCAATACTCCACCTGACTCTGTGGTTTCTTCCCCAAACCTCAAAAACTTTAACCTTTGACTGTCTACTATTGACCTCACCCCTTTCCTAAGAGGTCTGTAGAAGGCGTGCATAAGCGCACCAACATGCCTACCTGTCCTAGTGTTTCTTTTTATTTTTCTTATATGTATCTATTTCATGTATTCATAACTATGTTTATACTTATACCTGTTATCTTGTAATTGCTTGACTAAACAAACAAACAAATAAATAAATAATAAATAAATAAATAAAAACAAGGGTCTTCAAACTTGACAGCTTTAAGACTTGTGGACTTCAGCTCCCAGAATTCCTCCTCCAGTCATGTTAGCTCAGGAATTCTGGAAGTTGAAGTCCACCAGTCTTAAAACTTGCCAAGTTTGAAGACCCTTCCTGTAACATATTTCACTTAATTAGGCCTAAGTTATGGCCATTATATAGCCAAAACAGAAATATTCATTTGCTTTTTTCATGTTGAAGAATTAATTTTTTTAATAAAATGTGAAAAGCATGCTTGGGAGCTATGGCTTTAGCTTATTTCTTCTTCTTGGATCTACAATTCATAAGAAGGGAAATACAATACTGTATTTGTAAGAGAAAAACTGTTGTTGATCCATTTGGAATATAGCACACTGGGACTTTTTAAAAAATTCCCATGCTCCTTCTTCTAAACCTTTAAGAACTTTAACCAGTGCTTAATTAAAAATGACTGATAAGAAGACAAGAATGTCTTCTTCACATGTTAATTTGAGAAGGAAGGATGAGAAGACATCTGGAATTAGAACATGGAAGACAGACTGGCAGACCGACAAGCACATTCATGCCCTTTCAATGTCCCTTCCATGACTTGGGAGGATGGCTGCAGTTTTTAAAGTGAAAGGATACAGTTACCACAGATGAAGAGGATGATGAAATAAATACAGACTACCATTCCTGATGAAGATGGGCCTCCATATGCCATAATGCCATCATACATAACAGCATTCCAGTCTTCACCTGTTAGAATCTAAAAAATGAATTCTTTATTACTGAATTAGTACATATCATTAAAAAAAACTTTAATAGCTCCTTTCACACCAGAGGAAGACAAATCAGTAAAACCCTTATATAATTTCATTTTAATTATTTTATAAGATTGATGACACTAGTTATTTCTGAATGCATTATTTCATTCTTCTGCAAAATAAGGCATACTTTTGTTTGATTACCATTAAATACTCTGGAATACTCCAAGAAAAATGACTTTGTTAATGGAGGTAAATATTTCAAATGGTTTATCTCAGATTAACATTGACAGCAGTAGGTGAACATCCAACTGAGTTTATGGGGAAGAATAAATGTTAAACTGTAGTTACAGACTGTAACTCCAAGAGTTCTAAATATTCTTAAATATATATATTTTCTATTTATTGCTATACATTACAACTGTGAGAATTTCAATTTTCCACCATTAGTCTTTAATTTTGACTTCTTTGTGGACTTTTAAGTGATCATCTCAAAAACCACAAAGAAATATTACAAAATTATTACATCCAGTTATATCCAGACTGGGATTTGGTCCTATTTTTGTTATAGATTGATTAGAGTTTTCTTTTTTAAACTAAACCTTGCAAAACATACCATGTGTGATGTTGGAAGGAAACATTAATTTCAAGTCATTGTTTTCAGAAGGTTGACAAAATGCTCTAGCAATATCTGAAATATTTAAAATTATTATTATTTATAAATTCAGATATCCTATGGGAGACATCAACCTAGCATTTCTGACATTTATTTAATTCAGTCTTTTCCAAGTCTTCTGTCATTCAGGCATATAATTCCTAATCTACATTTTGAAATAGCAAAGTAGATAATTATAGAAATTGATCCAAAATAAATCCAACCTAAAATAGAAAACCAACGTAACAAATCTTAAACCTTTAAAACTCCCTGCATAAATTATCTCAGCAGTTTTTACAGCAAGCCTGGAAATTGGGTTTATTTTGCTAATAATTGTTCCATAATACTAAAGTTATTAAACCAGGATATTTCACAGGACCTGGCCACAGCCAGAACCCCAAGAAACATTCCCAGATCCCTTTTCCTTGTTTTTTTTAAAAAGTTATTTGTGAGATTTTGAAATCCTGAAATATTTTGTCATTGTCTTTGTGAAAGATCACCCAAGATCACTCAAAGCCAACCTAGGTTAAGATTAGTGTGTGATGGATTAAGTGAATGAGGACCAGAAAAACCTAAGTGCAACTATATTCTCTACTATGAAACTTACAAGATCCTTTTGGGTCAGTCACAGTCTCAGTGTACCCTTCCCATAGAGTTACTATGGTAAAAAATGATGAAGGGAATGCTGTGTGCATTGCATGGAAGAAAGCAGACATTTAAAGGGGGGTGGGGGGCTTTGAATAGCTCTGGCTGGTATGCCGATTATGATATAACCTTGAACAGGATGCTTTGGCAACATTTACACTGGTTAGATTAATGTAATGTGCTCTACGTGGATCTGCTTTTGGAGATGACCTGGAATCTGCAAACTAATATAAATGCTGAAGCAAGATGGCTGAGGAGCTATCCTGCAGTCCTGTATAGAATAGTATCTATTTTGACATTAATGCATTGGTTACCCTTAGGCTTCTGTGACCAATTCAAACGTTTGTCATTACTGTTAAGACTTTTCATAGTGCAGCACTGAGTTGCAAAAGTCAAGTTGAATCTTGAATTGTGGCTGATTTTAACTACAGTGTGGTTTCTTTAAGTAAGTTATCTAATTAAATTACAGTTTGGAGTTATCTTGCTCCAGTGACTAACAGACTAACAAGACTAACCATTATATATCTGGCTAAATATAATGAAGTTTTTAATCCTTTCATTGTGAAGAGCTGAAATATGAGAGTCTCCGTTATCATTATGTCCCAAACCAATTGCCCTTGGCAAGAAAGCTAATTTTTAAATTGGATTAAAATAATGGCACATTAAATTTGATTATGTGCTATCAAATTGTTTTCAATTCATATCAACCATCTAGGTAGATTTTCCATTCCTAACTTGTTCTTTCATACACCCATCAACACTATAACTGAGTCCCTTAAATAAAACTGTGAATGTGCCGATTAAACTGAGCATATTAGGAACCTTTATACAATATTTCTATTGTAATAAGTAGCCTACTAAAAGAGCTCACGATCCTGAATTCTAAAGCATTGGTCCTTCAAGATTGGTTAGTAAAATTAACACTATATTGTTTTCAAATGTTCCGTTTAGATTCAGTATGATAATTTTTACTTGTTTTCTCCAATAATTCATAGCATTTTTTTCCTGTTATGGTTTGTTTTGTCTGTGGAAGCTAAAGTAATAAGCATGGGTGTTTCCACTGATTTTATCTATGTGGTGACAATCCTTTGAAATACATTAGGCTAAGAATTACTGGCCTGAAGTTATCTAATGAACTTTGGGATCAAATAAGGTCTGAAACTCCTTAAACCTGGTCCAGTTCCTTATCTATAATACTAAATAGGTTGTCAATGAAGATACTAATGTACATATGTGAATTTAGGGGAGAAAACAAGAAGTGAGGGAACTTATCCTTGTGGAACATTGAAGACAAAAATGGACAGGCCTAGATTTTACTCAAAGTAAACAAATTAAGCAACCTTTTTCATATGAAAAAAAGAAAAGAATGTTTAAGCTCAAGCTCTGGATCATAAATAAGAGTAACTTACCAAGGTACAGATTTAAAATGTGCACAATATAAACAATTGTAAAAAGCAATTAACCATAACAGAAGAATTTTGCAATTAATAACTGTTTTGTTAGCTGTATTTGGATGAACGAAGACAACTTAATATTAATGATGTTAACATAAAAGCTATGCTGCATAGAGAGATTGAATACGTGATATGAACAAATGGTACAAAATGAAGCAAAAATTACCAAAGATTGACTTTTAATGAGCAAAATGCTATTTAACATAAACCGAAGGAACTATTGTTGTGATATGTGACTTTTATTTTTAGGAGACAGGATTACTTAAACAGTGTTGTTGTTCACAGATTTTAAAAAAATGTTTTATAGTGGGTGAATAAAGTTACCTGGAATACAGTTAAAAGGGCTTGTGGGAAATTATCGAAGGTGCTCCGTTTTGTTTGAGTTTCATCAAAATTAAATTTGCCTCCAAACAGCTGCATTCCAAGCAATGAGAAGATTATGATGAAGAGGAAAAGCAGAAGCAACAGTGAAGCAATGGACTTCATTGAGTTTAACAAGGATGCTACCAAGTTGCTCAGGGATGTCCAGTGCCTACAAATTAAAATGTGTGTGTTAACAGAAAAAAAAACCGTAAAAGAACAGTGCATGATGAAATATTACAAAAGAGCAGCGGGTCATACAAGGGTCAGTAAAACTCAGCACTAAGAAAAGTAAGAATAAGTTTCTCTTACCTGGTGACTTTAAAAATACGGAGGAGACGGACACAGCGGAACACTGAAATTCCAAGAGGCGACATAATTTGCAGCTCTACCAGGATGGTTTCAACAATGCCGCCACAGACCACAAAGCAGTCAAAACGATTAAATAGGGACACAAAGTAAGACTGCAGCCCAAGACTGTACATTTTTACTAACATTTCGCAGGTGAATAAAGCCAGAAGGACTTTGTTTGCAATATCTGGGGGTGGAAATATGCAAGAAATTAAATCAATTGATGAGTTTCAGGTTCAGTTTTATGTCTTATATCTAATACAAGCAATGAATGCTTTTCTATTTCACCCTCTTTGGACAAAGATTCCAAATTAAGATGAATATCCAATACATTAAATAATAATGGAGGCATTCGGGCCATTATATGGTATAGTTACATTTTCTTCCTACAATGCATTGAATATTAACTTTCAATATGGACATGATTTTAGCAACCAAAGATTAGATATCAATATGTACAATTCCTAAAATTACAGTCTACTTGGGCAACAACGATCTAAACAGAGCCAAAGGACAGAACTGATCAGGATGGTTCATAAAGAAGAGCTCTACAAATTAATTGGAACTGCTCCTTGTAAACCAGAATCCGGCCTATGATTATAAGAAAGTATTTACCCTGGTTCAGATTCTGACTCAGTACTAGACCAAAGAAATCTTTTTGACACTCATAACAAATGTCAACCATCAAACTACTTGACTAGACTAGACTAGACCACTAGACCAGTAGTCACCAATCTACAGCTTTTGGCCCAAATCTGCCACACTGCCTGCTTTTGTACAAATAAAGAATGGGAAGAGTAGATTGCCCATTCTCTGCCAGACCAAGCCTCAGCAGAGCTCCTAGTCAAAAGGTATTGTGGCAGAAGCATTCTGGATGGCAGTAGCAGGAGATCAGTAGTCTCCTTGCTGGCACACCAACACCGTCCAAGGCCATTGCACTCTTTGGCCTGAAGTCTGCCTCCATGGCTATAGAGGCAGAGATGGATCACATTTTTTCCCTTTATGGAAGAAAAGTTTGCCTACTCATGTATTAGACTATGATTAAATTGGTATTAATCTACAGTAAAATCTCACAAGAATTTGGCTAAGTTCAGCTATGGATGTGGACAACCACTTGTCCACTTCCATAGCTGGGAAGTGATGCTGTTGAAAATGATACTGTTGAAAAAAAACACCTCAAAATTGATATGGTCTAATTTCTTAGGATTTTAAGGAGAAAACAAGCTTAATACAAATTATTAACAAAAAAGGAGGTTGTCCCACTATCTCTAACTTTTGGCTCCTCAGTACAAAATGGTGGAAATCTCTTTACTATATTAGTACTAATACATATTATTGTTATTGTTGATTGCACAGTCAGCCATATGTTTAGACTGGATTTGGCACTTTTATCCAATTATCTTGGTTGATTATATACTCAATTAGATGTTTACACGGTTTGGCATTTTTATTGACCTATCAAGTCCTTCCCATGGACATGAGTTAAGCAGATGGTGTTGTTTGTTGGTGTTAAAGGTACTGTCACAGGATTATGCTGTTTCAAGTAAAGCTGCCTTGTTGTTAAATCTTGGATGTTAAGTGACACACACTTGCTTGTTTGAATTCTAAAGTCCCAGAGGGATTTAGCTTCTTTATTTTCTATTACTTTGCTTATTTTGTGATCCCACCAGTTCTTTCTTGCAGACGATCCAATAAAATATTGTTGCTATCTTTCATGCTGTTGTTTGTAATATATCTGTGTGATCTCTTTGCATTCGCTAACTAGGTGGGCCACTGTTTCTTCGGCTTCTTTGCAGAGGCAGCATTTGCTATCTTCTCGATTCTGGCTTTGTATGCATTTGTTCTTAAGCTTAGACTTAATCAGCCAGATTAGCTCATCTCTTTCTTCTACTTTGGTGCTCTTAGCAATTGCCAGGTCTTGTTATCTGCTTTTCCTGATAGTTTTTATATGTCCTATGCCATGTATTACTTTGTCTTGCCATGTCTTGTTTCTACTCTTTATTTGGTCTTCCTTATAGGCCAATTTGGTCTCTCTAGTATTCAGTAAGTCTTCATGATGTACTAGTTTCAGTGCATCTTCTTCATTATCTTTCAGATAGTCTTCCAAAGCCTTTTTTTCTTTTATTATTAGATTTATATCATATCTTTTTACAACTCATTATTAAGTATAGAGTGCTGTCATCCCCCATTTTCCCACAACATCCGTTAAGGCTGACAGAGTTTCTGGCCCAAGATTACCCAAATAGTTTTCATGTCTCAGGGAAGACTAGAACTTACAGTCTCCCAGTTCCCATTCGAGCATCTTACCCACTACACCACATTGGCTCATGTCATCTCACTGGTATTTATCGTAATATCGAACAATATGGACTAAATGCAAGATATAGAAAGAGAAGAGTGAAAATGTTTTTCATTGATTATAATAAGAAACAAGAAAAATAGTTTCATTTTACCTTGTATTTCTGTTAGCCAGTCAGGCTGATTATAATGCTCAGATGAGATAGTTAATGTGTTTAGGAAGACCAGGACAATGACCAACCAATAAAAAGAAACAGATTTTACAGCAGCTCTGCATCGTCTTCGACTGAAACGGTTCCATCGACGCCAGCGTCGGCTAAAATGACAGCATTATAGTGCAGAAACATTAAAATATAGAATAAAATTAGACGATGAATTCCAAATTTTAAACCTAGTCCCATTATTTTAATGCTATTATGACACCTACTTTCATTCCCAGTAGATGACGGAAAAGGTAGGTTTGTAAACTGAGAAAGATCTATGAGTTCTTAATACAAGTCAGCAGTCAGCACCGTGATTTGGTTGGATTTTTGTCCCCATAAGCAGTACATCCTGGTAAAGCATACTGGCTGGACCAAAGAATCCTCTAAGTATTAAAGCAGCAACAGTAGCAGCAATTGAAAGGGTTACCTGAAGGCTGAAAAGACTGATCTTGGCTGTCTGTGTACTAAGGTAGATGCCAACCACTTCACTTGATTGGTGATCCCAGAGAAAGTACTGTCCATACATGAACATTGACATGCAAACCAGTGACAAACTTTGAGGGAACTGTACAAGTCTTCTTGTGAACATGACTGCTGTAATGCCTTGATGGCAAGGCTTTGCTTCTGGCAACAGGTTTTATGTACCCCCTTTGAATGCTAGGCAGGGGAACAAACACTAAAGTCTCTGAGCTTATATTTGCTTAAAGTCAGAACTATGTTGCAAACTGCCTCTAAAAATGAATGGACAGTTAATGCAGATTATAACATTGCAGTTTAATATCTGGCAGTTTCATACACATGCACAACCTGTGCATGTATACCCAATCTGACAGTTTCATTCAGGAAATTTCTAAATGGTTTTCAGAGATAATTTACATAAAGCCTATTGAAATAATCCATGAGCAACTGTTGACCAATCAGCATAGGGCAGTTTTGCACTCCTTTATTGTGCCAGCTCCATAAAATGTTTGGAGAAGAGGAACATTTTTTAAAATATACATCTTTCCCACATCCTCAACTAGAAATCCTATCATCTATTATGTTTAGGATCCTGCATATGCCACAGTAGGGATGAATTCCACTATCACCCAGAGATATTTTGGGGGCAGAAGATACACTATATCTGAGTGTGTCTATTGATATTTTTTCTCATAAAAATTATGTAAGCGAGAATGAATTTTAAAGTCGTTTGATTACATTTATGAACATTTATTCATGCGTGGTTGAACTAAGGAAAACTTACCCAATTGACACTGTCAAATATTCTAAACAGGTTTTACCTGCTTCTCTGACACGATCATTCTCTATAGTTTTTCAATGTATTTTATGCATTTGTTTTTTAATTAGCTACATATATATTGATTCAATTACAAGACAGCCAGTACAGACAGTGTGAGACCTGAGTAGCAGCAACAATATTGACTTTCAAGCTTCATATAAATTTCTTTTATTTATAGCATTTTATTTCATTTTTCTTTTTTAAAAATATCAAACTGATTTGTGATAATTATAGCAAATGTAGTTTGACATAGAATAAACACAGGAGAATCAATAATACAACCTTGAATTTAAAAATAATCATTCAGGCAGCTGATGAAATCAAGGGAAATCCTATGTTTTGAAATTTCTGGCAGACGTCCTCCCAGGAGACACCTACCTCACCCCTATTCTACCCAGTATTTATTACCCAAATACTGGGTAGAATAAAGGTAACCCTATCCCACGCCTATCCCACACCTACCTTATTGAGGTAACCCTATAGAGGAGTGGTCGCCAGCCACTGGGCCAGGGACCACTGGTGGCCTGTGAGAAAATTTTGGTGGTCCGCAGAGAAATGTCACTCCCAAAGCACCCCCAAAGCAATTAATCCAGGCTGCGCGGGAACACAAGGCTGCTCCGCCCACACGGCTCGCGGGAACACAAGGCTTGCATCGCTTGCATTGGATTTCCTACACCCATTCATATTCCAAATTAAAAAACTAACGATTCAAGATAGCTAAACATAAGAGACTGTTGACCTAGTTCAGCTGTAGTTTACTAAGCTGTCAGATTTACTTAAAAGGGGATTAAGTTGTTCATATGAATCAGGACACCAGAATATCAGTGACAGAAACATTTGTGAATGGCTCTCGTTCATAAGAGCAGAATGAGAACCCAGAAGCAGAAGAGATGAATTGGAACTGCAGGAATAGAATGTCAGCAAACTTAGATAAAAAAAGAAAGAAGCTCTGACAAATGTAAAGGCAAGTAGGCCTGGCCTTAAGAAGTAAGAAGGAAATGGGATTTTCAGAAAAGATTATTCAGTTCTGAGAAAGAGAAGCATGAGAAACCAACTCAAATTAGCCCCATCTTGAAAATGGAACAGAGAGAATCTCTAACAGGCTTTCAAGATTCAGCAACAAACAGCATTCATAGAGCCCCCGCTGGTTTTTTGAGGTGGAGCTGGCCTATACAGATTCACTGATTTGGAAAGCAAGAGGCCTAATCCTCTCTTGAAGGGCAGCTGCAATCAGGGGGTGAGAGGAAAAACAAATGAAGAATCATGGAAGGGCATCTTTTTTGCACAAGTTTCATCATGCAAGATGAAACATGTCTCCATTTACTGCCCCCTTTATCCAAACATAGAGCATTTCTTTCTCTATGGAAGAATCTTTGCTTTAAATTGAGTGAGAATAACTCTTATCACAAAGCAAAAACACCCTCATTATGTATTAAGGCCATGAGTGAAATCAACAGAATAAAAGCAACAGTTTGCGCAAATCAAGTACATGAAGTACTCCCAACACATATTTCTATGGTCTTTTTAGAGTTACCACTCTGACCATGAACAAAACCATGGAGGACTTTGAATTAAACATAATTCTTGGAAATCAGTAAAGGTTGAAAGTCTGCAGAGAACTAACTGATCAAATTTCAGAGCGAGCATTGGATATATGGAGAGATCTGTTGCTTACATCCAGAAAATATCACGTCTTGTGACTATAGCCAGGGGTAAACAACTTTGTGTTCTTCAGTTACTTAGGATTGCAAATCTCATAATCACAGGCTACTGAGCATAATGGCTGGGGCTTGTAGGATCTGTGGTCAAAAATATAAGGACACTTGGTTTGCTCTTTTCAATACCAGTCTCAAACTGAAAGTGAAATGTATCTGGTTATCAGTGTAGCTTTAGCTATAGTTTAACTACTTCTGTTATCAATATATCCATTTCTGAGTCCAGGGAGGGAAATAAAAAATCCTATCAGGACAAATTTGAAGCCCAATTAAAGCAGTATTGAGAGTTTGAATTTTAAGATCAAGTTTTAAAGTTTAAGTTGGACAAAGTAATTAATGCAGAATTTTGGGAAGATTTAAGAAAAGAATTATATCTATGTCAATGCATATTGTATGTATGCCTGTGTATACTGGGAAAAATACTAGTGCTTGTTTTAGAATTTTTCAGGTTTTAATGTGAATAAAAGACAAAGTTAAGAAATAAAGCAAGATGTACAGTATTGTAAATATGACTGATATTTTATTGTGCTTGTAAATATTTGCTCAAAGAAAAGGAGAAAATAACTTTACTAATGACAGAAGTCATCAATAAAACATGGAATAATACTTGAATGCATCTTTTAAGAAAATCAAACTATTTGGCTCTTGTTCCTGACCTATTATTGCAAAGCTGCCTCTTTGAAATGGTATACAATGTTCATTTTATATTTATAAAATATAGTATTATTAATTCCACTTATCAACTGCCACACACAAATGTCTTCATAAATCATTATTTTAGCAAAAAAAATTATATATAAATTGAGTGAAAAGGCTAAATCATGTGTGTCAAACATTCAGTTGTCTTCTGGTAGAAAAGACAAATAAAAATGTCCAGCAAAGGCTTCTTTCAAGAATTTTTCATGAAGGATATTGAAAAATATACCCATTCCTACTAAAACACAAGAATTCTGGATGCAAATCTTCCATATGTTATGTTTCTACTGTATGTCAATCAGTGCCTACAGAGATGAAATCTGTATTTTTGGTAAGAAGAATGAATATTCATCCAGATTTTGAAAACAACTACCAAATTACATTTGGAAACAATGGCAGAAAAACTACAAGCCAGTATTGAAAAGGAACAGATCAGTGGTGGGATTCAAATTTTTTTACTACCGGTTCTGTGGGTGTGGCTTGGTGGGCATGGCATAACTTGGTGGGCATGGCATGGCTTGGTGGGCATGGCATGGCTTGGTGGGCGTGGCTTGGTGGGCATGGCAGGGGAAGGATACTGTAAAATCTCCATTCCCTTCCCCCCTCACTGACTGTTTTCTAGCTCCTTTCTCCTGTGCAGGGCAACAAAAGAAGACCCAGCCAATCAGCTGGGACTTGGGGGGGGGCAGAGAATAGATAGGAGCAGGGCCAGTCAGAGGTGGTATTTGCCGGTTCTTCAAACTACTCAAAATTTCTGCTACCGGTTCTCCAGAACTGGTCAGGACCTGCTGAATAGCACCTCTGGAACAGATTATATAAGTAAGGGATCAAGAGAGGAACAGTTGTTTCCAATCAAGGAAAGACACCTCATTTAAAATTTGCCATTGTTTTTATCTTCAGCTTTTCACCAAGGTTGACTGGATGATACTCCAACATAAACTCTTGTCATATCAACATGAAGATACATTCTGCAGGAATTTCATTACTCTTTTCCTCATTATATAAGCTTAGATGTCAGAATCCACTAAACTTTTAGTACTTCTAGTTAAACCAAAGTTTTCTTTCCATCTCCCAGCCCTTTTTCTTTCTCTTTGTCAGCCAGATAGTTTGAATATTTGTAGTTTGCCAGTTTAAGAGAGTAAACATTTTTGGAGGTAATTCCCTTCCTATGAAATTAATGACGATATATTTAATTTTGTCTGTTGTGTTTAATTTCCATTATTGCAGATCCCTTGTTTTATCCGTCCTTTTGCGATAAGAAATGAGACATTCTGATATAAACAACTATTGGCAAAATAATAGAATTAAGCAATCCTTAAGACAATCCAGTAAGCTGCCAAGGGGTTGAAGTCAAAGTAAGATTTTTAAAAAAGCAGGCTCAAAAAAACCCCAACCTCTACAGCCATCATATCAAATTCTTCAGCAAATATATCTAAACTAAAAAAAGATGTTTATGGATTAGGCATTCCAGAGACAATCAGAATTCCCTTCTCCAAACAGTGTGATTATTTCTTGATAGAGTCTATTTTTATAGAGAGCTGTTATGAACAGTGTACAGCTTAGTAAGCTAATCAGCAAGAGTTCTTGCCTCTTAAGATGCATTATACACATCATGATATTAATCATCTGCTATCCTAAAACTTAAAGAAACACAGAACAGCAGGATTTGTGAGAGGCACATAAATTGTCTTCTACCACTGCCACTGTCAATGAAATAACCAGCACAGCACTTTCAAGTTAAGGCTTATGTTGGCATCTTAAGAGGATATTGTTAATCACTTATGCAATTGGGGCATGGCGCTGAGGTTCCCCAGTTCCTATCTCCTCTGGATACTCAGCCCCCCACCCCCCCGCCCCATGTATAACATCATTCGATTCTTGTTCTGGGTGGCATTTTTCTTCCGGAAGGAAATCCTCATTATCTGTTGGATGATGGCTTTGATCCAAGCTACACCTTAAATGTAATTTGATGTAACAATCAAACTGCTGGAACTCTGCCTTTTAAGAAAAGCAACACTGTCAGGAACAAGCAGGGAATTTGAAGATGTATAATCTTTTTCCTGCATGCCAATTCATCTGCAAATGGCTCTGCTACCTCTCTGCTACTTTTTTGTGGCTCCCCCCAGCCCCCCCCTCCCCGGTGCATTTCAAATGCACAGATGTCTTCAGAAAATCATATTGTCAATCATGTGATGAGCAAAACTGGGAAATTAATTTGGAATAGAAAAATCACTGAGTAAGAAAACAATTACTCTCCTTCATCTGTTCATTTTTTTTTTTTCAGAAAAGAGGGTTACATAGAATAGTTACCGTATTTTGCAGTTCAGTCTTTCTTTAAAAAGAAAGAAGCATATTCTATAGCTATTATAACAGCACAATTGAAAGAGTAAAATATGATGATGTAGGTAGTCCTTTTATATTTACTGACACAATCTTAAAAATCAGTCATATTCACCCATAATAGTTACAGATAATCAGCACAGAATTATGATGTATAGCAGGAAATATAGCAGAAAAGTGAGAGAGAAAGAATACTGACCTGAACTTGGATTTTGAGATAATTTGACTAAAAGGAAAGGAAAACACATTTTAAAGAAAATATAAAACAAGAATGTACACATCTCATTTCACCTTGAAATCTGAATTGGAATTATTTAAATATTGGATGTCTGTTAGATGCGGACATGTATATACAATGACACAATAACTGTTAATGGAAATTAGATTTTTGTATTTTTTGTTTTTAAAGAATTTTTTTTTAAAAAAAGATATGGACATATTCAACCAGCGTAAACTGTATAACAATGGCCTTTTTTAACTGCTCTTAATAAACCACTTATAATTAACTCTGCTTTACAGTTATACCCAATCTAGAAAGAGATTTTAATTAAACTACTGGAATAGAAATAACTTCATAATCCTAATCTGGCACTCTTTCAAAAATAATTGAAAAACTGCTTCTTTGCAATAAGCCTACACCATAGGCCACAGAAGAGAATTTTATCAGCACTGTCTAACAGATTTAGAGAGCTGAGTGTGGATTTTAAACAGTAATTTTAACATGAACTTCCAAAGTTTAAATCACACAAACTTGCCAACCTATCATAGTTGCGGAGTTGTAATGTACTTATTGGGAGCTTATTACAGGGCTGAATTTGGAGTAGGTCTAACCAATAGGTACCAATTCATGGTAATAATATTCATATTTCTGTGCAATTTCTATCAGCTTAGACAGAGTTCCCCAGGATTTCTAGCTTTGTGGACCAGTAGGGTGGGGAGAGGGGATGATTCTGCGTGAGGGGTGGGCATATGCGCCCACCACTCATGCAAATGCTCACCCACTGCTCGTGCAAGTGGGGATGCATGCACACTTGGTGCTATTCCATGGCCCAATTCTGAATGGCTCGTGGTCTGGTAGTGGAACACAACTGGGGATTAGGGACCCCTGAGCTAAGACACCCTACAAATTGTTATATATAAATGAAATACAGTAGGATACAAATGCTAGCCTTTAAAACTCTAGTTTGTTATATGATGTATGTATGCAGGGGTGGGTTTCTTCAGGTTCGCACCTATTCTCTAGAACCGGTTGTTAACATTCTAAGCAGTTCGGAGAACCGGTTGTTAGAAGAAATTACTGGGCTAATCCTGAAAGGAAAGCAGGAAGGAAGCAACATGTGTTGCTTACAGAAACTGCCTGTCCATTAACCCTTATTACGTTCTTGGCAGGACTAGACTTCCTGTCTCAGGAACTTCTCTGGAGTTTTTCCCCCCTCCTTTGCTGGTACTTTGCTTGTAGGGAGTGACCATTCAAAGTTACAATGGCACTGAAAAAAGTGTCTTATGACCATTTTTCACACTTACAACTGTTGCAGAGTCCCCACAGTCATGAGAGGCCAGGCGAGGAGATGCGTGCCTCGATGTGAGTGATGTTGAGTTGGCCACACCCAGCCAGTCACATGACCACCAAGCCATGCCCACCAACTAAGCCACACCCACAGAACTGTTGTTAAAAAATTTAAATCCCACCCCTGTATGTATGTATGTTTCAGAGAACTCTTTCTTACAATTTGCAATAAATAAAGCAGTCATCATGATTAACGTAATCGTCTACGTTAAGACTTACAATCAAATAAAAGTGAAACTTTCTTTCAGAAAACTTGGTCCAGTCCAGTCCTCCAGTGAGTGTAAGCTAAAAGCTTTCAAGAGTTCCATCATATACTCACCACAAATTTCCACAGCATGTGTTCTCTCCTTCACCAGCCACATTTTCAGTATTTACTGACTCAGTCTCGCTTGCTTGCATGCTTGCTGTTGCAAAATAATGAAAATATAACTAGATTTGTTATTGAAAAACAACATATGAAAGTGTCTCAAACGTCTCTCAAATATTATTTTTATTTTACAAATGGTCTCTCCTGTAACAATCTGTAGTGGAATCAACACAAAGAATGAATGGATCTCACCTAAAAGATACATAGTTCAGGATTCTAAGCCAAGAAAATCCTAGCGTACGAGCAGAAAAGCACAAATACAAAATACAGAATTTTATTATCCTAGGCACTATCAATAGTGCAAAATTATTCTTCTGCAAGGTATATATACAGTCTTCTGCAAAAAAACATTTTCCCCAATGCTTGCATTAATATGATGAGAGCTATGAGTCTTCAAATATGGTTGCAACACTTGGAACAACTTCTTACTGACCTCTTCTCAGTTACTTACTTCTGGCTTATAAGAACTTAGTCCTGCCTCTGCTTTCAGCTCACACAGCATTCTGTCTCTTCATTTTAGCAATGTGGGATCAATGACATCAGTCTATCCTACAGATATGTTGTTGTTCCTCAAGTATAAATTCCAGTTAATTAATCCATGGACAGATGGACCATGGCATATAATCTGGATCTATCCTGAATGTACTGCCTTTAACCATCTTAAAATATGTGGGCTGACACAAGCAAAAATATTTTCAATTGCTAGCACAAATATACTAATACAACTCTGGAAAGTCAACTCATAACTATGTTTGGTGCACATGTCAATCCAGATAAAAGGATTTATCTTAGCATCAAGAATATAAATGCACTTTCTTGCCTGTCCACAAAGATAGGCTGTCATCTAAAGGAGAGCAAGCAGTAAATTAGCTTTTAAATTACAGCAAAAAGTGCCATTTGCATTTCTACTTTATGCCTTAGCAAGTTTTGCCAAGCTTTTATTATCTTGGTCCTTGTTTAAAGTAAACCATCTCCTCACATGTCATTGTTTCTGGAAGATTTGCCCTTGTGGGATATTTTGAAGAATAGCTAGATTAAAAACTCATCATTCACAGTTTGGTCCAAGCTGCAAAATTTATGAATCACTAAATTGAAGGCTGCCAGCCAGCTACACAGTGATCTGCCAAGTTTAAGACTCCTTCCTTTTTTTGAAAATCAAACAGAATAGGAAGGTCAAGAGATTACTGAAGTTTTTCTGGGACATATTTTATAACCAGGCATGGTTCAAAAATTATATATGTGGACCAAAATCTCATGAGTTAGGACTCATGAGACTTGAAGTAGAAAACTCAGTGCTCCATACCACTTCTACCTATCCAATATCCATTTCTTTCATTTCTGATGGAAATTTCTCTGGTTCATTTCATGTTACAATTAATTGTCTTCTGAAATATTACCACAATCGTACATGCAAGATTAATAAGGAGCTTGTGCAAGAACACTAGAGGAAACCTCTATATCTCACAGTCAATTGGAGAAGATATAATCTGACTGTGATGTAGCCCTTTGAAAACCCTGTGAACACTTCAAAAACAAGTAATCCTTCATTCCCAATTTTTTTGGGGGGAGGGGGAGATTCCTCCATTAAAGCAAACATTTGTCCCAAATTGTAACAAAATTGTAACCTTCCAATTTACTTTTGCAATAAAGTTATCTTCCCATCTGCTATGTGGAATAATATAATATGTTTTTCAATAGATTCAGCGTTAGGGTTAGTGAAGAATGTTGCTAAAAGGGGTAAGAAAGTAATTATCATCCACAAAGGGCCTTGGATTTAAATGCAAGGGAAATCATCTGAACCTGGCATATGTAGATTTTTCTGGTTGCTACAGCTGCCAGACTCTGATACTTTCTCAAGAAATTAATTATACCATTCAAATATCCTCTGATTTATGTGATTTCCCTTTATTCTGGAATGGGAACATAACTCCCTCATGGAACAAGGAGAGCTTCTGTTAATTATTTTAGAGACAAAATATAGCATAAATTTAACTTTGGAGGGACCAATACACTTCTAGCTTTACAATAAATTATTCTTATTAGAATTTAGATTTATATCCTGCCTTTAACTTTATGTGTTCAAAGCATTGTGCTTATTACTGTTTCCTCCAAATCCCCTAAATAAGGAAACCTAGACAGTGAGATAAAGGACTGGTTCAAAGGCGCCTAATGACTTTCGTGAATTGGAACTTGAATTGGAGTCTTTCTGGATAAAGCTCAGGATTGCAACTACTAGATCATGTCGGCTTTCAGCAGTTGTGCTAAACTTTTCATTCACACACAGGATGAATGTGGGAATGGGCAGTATTAATAGAGAATCCTGTACATTGAACATCCCATAAAGACAAGTAACCAGGATAAGCTGCTTGGGGTTGGCAGGGGTTCGGGAGAGTCCCTAGCTAAGAGTCTGTGCAATTTGGAGAACCCCCAAATCCCACTCCTGGCTGGACCCGCCCACCCCTCCCCTCCCCTCCCAGGAGTCCCCACACTGCCCGTTTTGGGTGCAGGAAAGTGAAGGGCGTGCATGGAAGCTCGGGGTGGGCGAAAAACAGGCCTCTCAGAAGTTTGGGATGGCTGGAAATGGGCTTCCAGAGCCTGGGGAGGACAAAAACATCCCCCACTGCCAGGGTACAGGAGGCCTACTAGGCCATGCCTACCATGGCCATGCCCACCCAGCAACCGGGAAGAGAACCTTTTGCTTAATATTTTGAAGCCTAGCCCTGGAAGTAACTACTGCACAACTACTTATTGTTTGTCTGATACAAATGGCAAGGGCAATATCTAGGTGGAAGAATATAGGGTTTATAAAAGTTCTAATTAGAACATGGCATTTTCTGGTTTCAAATGTTCAAGCAGTAAACATATATGGCTGCGTGTATCTGCAATAACTGAATTATTAAGCCAGTGTTTTTTAACTTTGGCAACTTTAAGATGCATAGACATAATTCCCAGAGTTTTTCAGGCAGCATTTAAAGCATTAATAAAATAAATAATATGCATTGAACAGTTCTCAGCCTATAATTCATTATACAATGAGAGTTTTTCTAAAGGTTCATAGTTTTATTACTTTGAAATTAAAATAAGGTACTTAAATTTTGCTCATTTGCTTTTTCAGCCTGATTGGGTGTATATATTTCCTAAGAACAACAACAAAATTTCAATATTCTAAGCTTCTGCAGAACAATCTCTCAAAAACATGCAGTCAAGCAGCAAATCATGCCCATGCAAAACACGTGTATTCATGCCTAGGTCTTTTTCTAAATGTGTGTATGGATTTTGAAAAGTAGCATTCAAAGTTCATCATTTCAAATGAAATGTTCCACTGCAAACACACACACACACACACATTTACCATGTTTGTTGGCCCCACGACAACAGCTAAATCTGCTTTTCTTGTTTTTTTCTAATAAATCAGCCAGCGTAACCCCTTCATATTAAGTACATGCAATCCCATCCATAATACAGCAGATGGCAGCAGCAGAAGTGCAGAAGACAATAAATTAGCCATATCATTCAGTCAGTCAGTGCAAACAGACTGAGAACTAATACAAAAGTTAAACTTGGATGAATTATCAATAATACTTGAAAACCTATGTTTGTATAGTGGTGTTAGTCAGGATCATTATTAATGGACTTCTATCCCTCTTCATAGTTTGACCACTTGTATAATGTGCAAAGCCTAATTATATGTGATCATTGATAGCTGGGATTTAACAAGGTCAAATATTTGGTTGCTGAAAAGACTTCTCAGAGATTTAAGGTGAAATTTCAGTGTATTCTTTCCTAACTCTCATTCAAGTAAACTATGTTAGTACCTCTCTGTAATTGATGTGGCATAAAAGTAGCTATAGCTTAATGGTGGAATATGTTTTCTCCATGAGAAATGTCCTAGATTCAGCCATATGCATTTCTACTAAATAATTTTGCTGGAATCTGAAAAGCTTCTGGAGCTCAGTCTTTCGAACTAAATGATCCAATAAGGCAACTTTTTGCAACCCCAAAATGTAACGATTTCTACTTTAGTGTAGTATGTTAACTAATAATTTACTTGTGGATAGTGATGAGGATTAATAGAGATTTCTCTAAATTAAATTAGAGATAAAATAACAAGAGTTGGAAGGGACCTTGGAGGTCTTCTAGTCCAACCTCTGCTCAGGCATGAAATCCTATACCATTCCAGACAAATGATTGTCCAATCTCTTCTTTAAAACTTCCAGTGTTGGAGCATCCACAACTTCTGGAGGCAAGTTGTTCCACTGATTAATTGCTCTAACTGTCAGGAAAAATTGTTCTAACCGTCAGGAAACTATTCTATCATCTATCATTCTTAGCCAAGATTGGACTGAAGTAACTGAGAAAACAGAGATGAATCACTTCTAACAGTTACGCAGATCATTAAGTGCTGAATAATGAGCATCCAAATAATTTTACAAGAGTATCACGTGGAGTAAATAAAGATAAAAGTTGAATTACAGAATCACAAATTGAGCTTGTCTTTTGGTTTATGTTAACTGTTTTTCCTACCTGGTTGAAAGTGTTAATTCCTGCAAGCATCAATTGCATATGTATATCAGCACTCAGCCTCATGATAGGCAGTAAATCCAGAAAGCTCTATTTGTGATCACTGTCGGCCAAAAAACATTCCTACCAGGCTTACAAACCCTTAGCACATACTGTGAAATCTTCCTTATTTGTATGTCTCTGTGAAGATTTTCTAAAGAATGGTGGACTTTGATCTCTGTGTGAGCCTGCAATTCTAAGCATATTTATCAGGAAACAAGCCTGACTAAACATAGTGTAACTTTCTACCAACTAAGATCCAATAGGGAGGCTTACTCATACAGTAAATAAATCATTTTCTCCACAGATTCTCAGCAGAGAGCTAGAAGAGTCCAAGCCAGCCCATACCCAATTCTAATTCATCCACATATTCCAAATCAAAACAAAAAAGAAAATAATGATGACTGTAAAACTTTATTGCTAAACACTAAGAAAGACTATACAAATCCTGAAATAGAGTATTATCAATAATAGAAGATTAACTTCAGTGGAATTTGTATAATAAAACTGGCCCATCTCAGGACACAGCATTCAGCAATGCCGAAAATAACAATACTGCTGTAGCAAATGTGTAAAAACATTTTGTCATGTAGAACAACCTGTATCACAAGTTGTACTCATCAGTTGACAAACAGTGGGCCGTTTTCACAAAAGATAGCAAGCGCTTAATTTTCTCTTACTTATCAATGGTTATCACACAATGGTATTTTAAGTGGCAGTGTTTGTGAGAATTAAAAGAGATATCTGCACAATTTCACAGGCACTCTAGATTGTGTTTTGGGAAACATGGATTAGCAGAGGCAAAAATGAAAAAGAAAAAACCCAATCAAGCAAGGCAGTAAATAACCTTATGAAACATTAAGGTTTTAATTTAGATTGATGATAAAGTATTCTAAGATATCATATCTAGTCTACAAGCTACTCCACAACATATCCCATTAATATTAACATCTTGCTTGGTTATAGGATGCTATTTGATATGCATCACAAAGTACTGCTTTAAGATGTCATTAACAATAAGTCATAAGGACAGTAGATACTTAATCAGGAAGAAAGAACATCTCTGTAGACCAAGTTTCTAGTGTGAACATTCTGACAGCTTGACATGTTTGCCTCTAAAATTAGCTGAGGAAGTATACGAAATCATTCTTTCCTTTTTGCAACTTCTAGGTTCTCTATCTCCAGAAAGTCATTTTTTCCTACTTCCACAAAATGTCATTATCCTATTTCAATTGTTATATAGCTATCATTTATTTCTAAAGGAAGACTGAAAATGTAAAGGATTCTCCAGTAGCCCAATTCTGCTTTGTTTTATTATATAGAATAGAATAGAATAACCGAGTAGGAAGAGACCTTGGAGGTCTTTTAGTCCAACCCCCTGCTAGGCAGGAAACTCTACATCACTTCAGACAAATGGTTATCCAACATCTTTAAAAAAACTTCCAGTGTTGGAGCATTCACAGCTTCTGGAGGCAAGTTGTTCCACTGATTAATTGTTCTGTCAGGAAATTTCTTCTTAGTTCTAAGTTGCTTCTCTCCTTGATTAGTTTCTACCCATGGCTTCTTGTTCTGCCCTCAGGTGCTTTGGAGAATAGGTTGACTCCCTCTTCTTTGTGGCAGCCCCTGAGATATTGGAACACTGCTATCATGTCTCTGCTAGTTCCTGCAACCGTTCTTTATATGTTTTAGCCTCCAGTCCCCTAATCATCTTTGTTGCTCTTCTCTGCACTCTTTCTAGAGTCTCAACGTCTTTTTTACATATATGGTAATTGCTCAAAAGTGTCAGTGAAGATACAGAAAGTCCCCAAAGAAGAATTATGGAGTGATGCAAGAATAAGATGGCATGTTAAATATGTCTAATTTGATATAATGCTTTCCTGTCTAGAAATTTAAAGAGCTTACTATTGCATTGTACATTTCTACACAGTACTTACAGGTAGCTGTAAGAACTAACAACAAAAATCCAGCCTAATATTTTGAATTTTAATAAGCACATACAATGATACAATATACGTTTCAATTCTGCACGTATCTACATAGATGTGCATCTTTCCTTAACACAAGGAGTTAAATTGGGATCTACTGCTACAAATAAGATAAAGAAATTGTTCTCAGTCATGCAGAGTGACTCTGGAGCTCCCTAGATGAATCTCAAAAGACACAGGCCTGTGAAAGCTCAAACCAATCTTCTTTTCTATACCTTTGGAATGTCTAAAATGTATGGCAGGAGATAAAAGTGTGGATAGCAAAAGGTTATATTCCTTCTCTCAAGAAAACTTAAGCTTCTCCTTTATGTTACATAATATATTCCATACCGTAAACATGCTATAAATAAAATAATAAGACATAATTGTCATAAACAGAGTAATTCTCTATTCCTAGCCATTGTTTTGTGGCTTACTCCCACTGACTTTTAGAAATAAAAATTAAAAAGGAAACAGTTGGTCTGACATTTAAACACCAATATGAGTTAATAAATATATCCAAATTACAAACTTTATCTCTTGAATAAACGTCAATACTATATATACTGCATGCCTCTCCTAATTAGTGGAATATGGACAACAGTATTTTGGCTTGCAAGATATTATTTAGATTAAAGATTTGGGTTTGCACAAAAGAGTATTAACATGCTTGAGTAAAACTGGACTTTGGTTGTGCTTGTGGCCTATTGGTCAAAATCAACCAACAGAGTCCGACTGTAAACAGAGAATGTAACCATGAGGCATGAATGCAGCTAAGGCATTCTAGTCTACACTGTACATTTGTATTTTACAAATAAATGTGAAAGCTTTCATAAACCTACTCTAGGATAATAGTGGAGGTCAACATCTGGGGGCCACCTGGCAACAGTCATAGCATATGAAAAATTGCAGGTTGAATGTAAAAGGAATAAATAAGAAGGGGCATGAGTTTAGAAGTGGAATAAAGAAAAAGACAGATTTTGTATCTTTAAGCATAAGAGAAAAGGAAGGTTGCAACAGATCTAAAAGAAAGAAGGTAATTGGGGAGATGAGTTGATGAATCCATGCAGGGAAAGGAAAGTTTAGGTTTAATATGGTGGAACTGGAATCGTGTAGGCTCTTCTCTTGCATACAAAAGAATCAATAGGTTGATGACGGAAAGAAAGACAAAATGCAGGCTAATTTTGGTAGAAATAAATAATGGCTGTGGAAGTGCATGAAAAGGGGTAGACAAGGAGTTTTCACCAGAGGGAATAAAATTAAAAACAAATGTAATAAAACCAAAGTGAGGGAATGTGGGAGACTTCAGAGATTTGTATAATAAGGTTAGTATCTGAGAAAAAAACTGATGGAAAGAAAATAATAAATATAAGAACTCTGAAGAAATGGTCTGCATTGTTCTTGCTAGAACTGGAGAAGTGTTAATATACAAATTGGATTTGCTAATGGAATGGCTATACTACTTAACATATGTATAAAGAGGGTATTTGTACCTACCTGATGATTAGGAGAATACTGTCATTATTTCCTTATACAAAGGAAAATATAGCAAGAGAGAATGCAAAAACTACAGGAGTATTCATATGTTACAGGGGGCTAGGAAATAATTTGGCAAAATTTTGGTGGATTGAGAAATCAGCAAAATTTGGGAAATGCAATAGGCATTATACTAGACAGGGAGTGTGCTCATTTGGGAAAAACATATGATTCTGAGAAAGTTCATTGCACGTAATCACCTTCTGCCTCTCCAACCTGATATTCTCCAAACTTTTAAAATTCTCAACAAGTTTATTCAGTAACTACTCCCCAAAGTGCCTGTGGAAGTTCTCAGTCATCCAGGTCATGGTTGTCTTAAAAGGTGCTTTTTCAAGAGGCAGTTGGACTTTCTTTTCAGCTCTGAAGAAAGCTGAAGAAACTTCTTGGATGAGAAGTAAAAGGGCTTCAAATAAAAACAAGAAAGTCCAGTTGCCTCTTGAAAAAGCGCCTTTGGTACTCTGCAAAGCCATGATGATTAAGTATTCTGGAATTGCTGTCCCAACATATTTGGAGTAAGTCAATTAGAGAGGGCTACTGTAAATCATTTGTAGAACACAGAATCTTCTTTTATCAATGATCTTTAATTGAGGAGCTTTGACATACTATTTCGTTTGCCTTCTCCATCACCTTCCTCTTCATTCTCTGGGTCAATGTCTTCTGCTTGAGTAATCCAATCCAAATAACCTTTGAGATCTTCTTCTAGCTGTTGTTTTTCACGTAGCTTTTGAAAATCTCCCCTGGCCTTGGCCTTTTCTCTTTCCTTGGAAAATTCTCTATGGATGCAGATAAAACATGAGATATACTGATTTACGAAGCTACATAGCCTTTCAACAACAACAACAAAATTCAAACCCCTGTGTTTTTTCTTTATTTTTCCTTGACAGGATTATATATATAAAGAAAAATTACAAAAATGCAAACATTTTCCACATATTACATAGCAATTCAAATCACTTTTCATGCTACATTCCTTATGCCTTATACTTTTACGGACTCATAGCAATATGCATTCCAAACCTTCATCTGCCAGACTTGCTCTGGCATCATTCTGGATCTCCTCTGAAGTAGACTGGACATAATACTTTCTTTCATCTTCTTAAAATATAATTAGGGTCTCAGGTAGCCCTGCCAGCTATTTTATTTATTTGTTTTGTCTAATTTATGTAGCCTCCCATCTCACATGAAATGTCTCTGGGGAGCATACACTATAACATACTATTAAAACATACTGCAAAACAAATTAAAAACAAAACAATAAACATAGATAAAAACAAAACTACAAGCAGGAGAATATTACATATAGTGCAGCCAACATGCAGGTCCCCTAACACTAGAGGGTTAACACAAGAACAACAAGCTCTTGTTTTAAGAGCTTCTTGGAAAGTAATGACAATTGAGGCTACCCTTACCTTACCATTTTTGGAAAGTAATGAGGATTGGGGCTACCCATCACCTTCCAGGTGATGGGTGCCACAGCAGAAAAGACTTGCCTTTGGGTCCCATCAGTTGAAGCTCACTGCAGACGGGACCCACAGCATGCCTCTCCTGCCAGACCTAGTGAGACAGGTAAATGTAATTGGGAAAAGGCAGTTCCTCTGATACCTGGCCGCATGCCATATAGAGCTTTAAAGGTCAAAACCAGCACCTTGAATTGTACCCAGAAGCAGACTGGTAACCCATGCAGCTCACGAAGCAGAGATGTACATAATATACATAACTGCCTGCGCTCTTGCATTTTATACCAGATAAAGCTTCCCAAATACACTCCAGGGCCAGCTCCATGTAGAGTATAGCACCACTGTTTGCTAAGTCAGATTTCAAAGGTTTCTAGTTTCTAATCTAAATAAATACCTTCCAGGCACAAAACTGCTTTACCTGTCTGAATTTGGCAGGTGTTTTTATTTATTGCCCAGAGAACATCAGATTAATAATATAATGAATATATTAAAATGTCCTCAAATAGCACACTGAGATGGTAATATTTGGTCACTAATACCTTTATTGGTTGTGCAACACCAAAGATCAATGTTGTTGGACTCAGAATTGTATCTTCTCAGTAGCCACCCCTGCCCTGACCTCACCCACCCCGAGATACAGATGGCTCCAACTCTGTTAGTCTTTTCACAAGATACTATTGAAGACTTTGCTGTTTTCCCAGGGATTTGGGTCGGATAGTTAGATGACCTCTGTTATTTATTTATTTTTATTTGTATATGTGTGAATGGTGGTATTTGTTTTTGAGCACCTGGGGTTATAGGTTGGTGGGCTTTTCTGTGTTTCTAATCCTTGTTAGTTTCAGAGAGTCAATTGCATAAAATGGGTAGCTATAAAAAACATACAAATGAATGAATGAATACATAAAATGTTGGTTTTATTTTTATTTTTGTTAGACTCCTTGTGTTGGAGAATGGAAAGCTCTTATGTTTTCTTCCTACTTATCCTTAACTCTGTTGAGAAAAGGAATGCTGTCAGAGTGACTTCATTTGCTTTTGCCCGGAAACTGAAACTGACAGTTCATTGCCATTTTCTATTTAGTGCATCATTATTTAAATGCCTTTTTCTCTTAATCCTGTGTGTGCTACATTGCAGCTGTTTTAGGGATGTATCCACATAATTAGCTGAGCATTTTCTTAATAGAGGAATCCAAGGGCACCCACTGTAAGAACAACATGGCTGTAGGAATTGCCAAGAATATATATCCCTAGAAACCAGTTACTTTCCCATATAGAAAGGTCATTCAGGGACATGCCAGAACATTAGTTTCTTGCTGTCCTCAAGCAGGACAATAAATTCAGGTTATAGATATAAATGTATGTTTAAAAAGTGTGTTCCCATGACTACCCAGAGAAATAGCAGTGCTTCCAATAGAATCTGTCTTCACAGAAAGCATCCTCTGGTGGTTAGCACCATTCCCAAGGAGCAGATTATCCCACTTCATTAAAAAAAAAAGGTCTTCCATTTGTAAATAAAAAATGATTCTCTTACTGCTTTAGATATTTTATGTTAACAATATAATAACCCCTGAATGGTTGACATTTTAAATGTGCCATTTTAAAAATGAACCTGTATAACAAAAACAAATGGCTATATAATTCATTCCAGCTCTACAAGGGGGCGGATTTTATAATATGAACACAACAAATCCACTGGATTATAAGTCACATTTTGAGCAGCTGTCTTACATGTGCCCAGAATCAAGGTTATGGTCTTGACTAAACTAAAAATTCAACAGGAAAGCAATAAATAAAACAACCCTGAAAATCAAATCAAGAGTGATGAAAAATATTAGTTTCCCATTGCTTGTTTCCAGAGAGAAATATTCTGTTTTAATGTTGAGAATGAATTTTTAGTTGAGAACTCTGGGTATTTTTTCATATTTTTGCAAACAGAATAAATAACCTCCAATGAGTTAGCTTTGTGGTTCGCAACTTTAGTTTTGTAGGTTGTATGGACCTAATCATTGTGTTTTATAAATTGGCATCATCGATCATTTTAACCATTGTTTATCCACTGCAGGATGAAGGCCTCTTCCACATGTTTCCAACCAATACAGTCCTGAGCTCTCTTTTGTCAATTGGGCCCGTCTTATAAGCTATATAACATAGTTTAGGATATTGTATGAATCACACCAATTATGGTTTTGTTGTGGAATATAGGCTAGTAGTTTTTCAGGAGCAAAAGATCTCTCATTTATTAATTTATTTATTAATTTATTATTTATGTGCTTTGCTGAAGCAGCTTTGCACTAGCTATACAAGAATTGCTCTCTTGGTCAGTGGCCTTGTGTGATTCACAGCCAGCCAGCTTGCTGTGATGCATTACATAGATTTGCATAGATAAGGAGTTCCTGAAAACAGGGCAAAGCCCAAATTTTCTGTAAAGAAACAATACTAAACTATAATGGAGAAAGAGGAAGAAAAAAGAAGCCGTGCTTCAATTTAGTGTTCAAGGAGAATTTCAATCACATTTGCTTTATACTGTTCTTGAATGGAAATATTTTAAACCTCTTTGTACAAGAGAAGAAAATATTGTTTCTCCAGAGTTCTGAGCTTCATTCAAACAAAGTTACTTGTCAAATTACTGTGAAATACAACAAGTGATACTCTGCTCAGCAGCTCCCCTCTTAAATTCTCTTTTCCCCATCAACAGATGGATGAAATAGATGCACTTAAAGTGAGTAAGATGGTGAAGAGATTAAATGTTTTCACAGCTTGTTCAATAAACCATGATTAAGAAAACTATAATTTTGCACAATATGCAGACTGATTTTTAAAAAGCTGTCTGAATTAGTGGCAATCAATACATGATGCCAAAGTTCATGCAACAATTATAATTAGAAGCTTATGTGTTCAATTATAGAAACCATCCCATTAGATTAACACCTGAGGCCTAAAACAGCTTTAAATATAGATACATTTAATTACTTCTTTAAAACTTTGCAATTACAAATAGTGTGAATTCTATTCTGAAAATATTATATAAATTACAGTGGTTAAAATATTTTTTATCGTCAATTATTCAATTTCAACAAACTGCACTCATTAATTAACTACCTGGTTTAATATGCAAACTTCAAGGTTCCTTTTTTAATGAGCTTCGTAATCAGCCAGGACCTCTTCTCAGGCTGACAATTGTATAAAATGTTTTCCTTCCTTTACTGGCTGCATTTGTGTTATGGTTGGCTAAGTGTTAAATTGTAAACTGGCATATCTAAGTTCACAACTTATCCTAATTGCAAACACTCTGGATAGTTTTGAGGAAATGATTCACTTCATTCTGTAAACTGTTCCTGATAAGGGCATTTTGAAAGTAAGAGAGAGAGAATTCCAAAATATTCCCCCAGTTATTTGGAATGTTAAATAAGAGCAAAACTCCTGATACTCTCCTATGTGGTCGTTGTTATTCAGAAGACTGTGTCTGGAGCATGTACTGATAACTATGACTTAAACTGAAGCATGCACGCATATAATATTTTGGACAATACAAATATATTAGATACATTTGCATCAAGATTATGTTCTTAAACTGAAATAGCAATTTGAATGATATAAGGTTTGAGGCAAATCAAATAATATAAATGAGAACAGATGCAGGCAAATTTTAATCTGAAATACAATTGAGTGATACCTGATGGACAGCAGTGACTGAAGTAAAGTGTTCTAGTTCCTTAAATCAAAGTTGATGTCTTCAAATGTTTTGGGTTGTAACTCTCACTTGACTAGCCAGCAAAACTAATGGCCAGATTTAATATTAGTTAACATTCAATATAGGTAAGCATCAGTTGCCCACATTTAACTTAATCTTATGAGTTAACTAGAAGTTAAATAAGAGATCTATCAACTGCCACCATAATTAAAAAATCAATGGCATCCAAGAATCTCTATTAATGCATGGACCAAATAAAGTTATGATAGAGGTCAGACAGCGAGCCCTTCACTAGGACCTGTAGAATGGCCAATCCAAAGTTTTAAATTATTTTAGCGGAAGTAACTGTCATAAACTTTTCACAGTTCCTATTTTCTTAACGTATCTTCTAGAACTTTATATTAGTAAAGTTTAATGCTGAAAAGGGTTGGACAGCAAGTTCAGAAACATCCCATATTTGGAGCCTACGCTTAGACACAGCTACAAAGAGAGCCTGGCATGTTTTACTTAGTGCTTTGGATTAATATTCTCCATCTTTGCTAAATATACGAGTTGTCTTTAAGTAGAGGTTTGCAGTTTTTACTAACAGATCCATCTGCTGAAATGTCTATGAAAGTTGCTAAATGCT